TGATTCGTGTTTTTCTGGGTCAAAGATTATGAAAATATGACAGTTAAAAAGACGGGTTCGCCAAAATCTATCACAGCTATAGGGGGTTTGGATAGTGGGGAGGGGGTGGGGGTGCTACAAAGTATAAATTTGGACATTATAATTTGGTAGTCTGGTAATTCATTACAGGAATCGGCCATGACAAATGGTAGGGGGTGGGGATCAGCAAAATACGGTACAGCCCTGGGACCAATACCACTTGGTGACATGTTTAAAAATAGCAATGGTCTGACTAACGTTCCGGGCAAAAAAAGTATACACTTGAAAACAGTGAAGAGCTTAGGGCCAAAAGGGGCCAAAATACACTTTAGCCCTTTCTGCATATTATTGCATGAATAACATCTATGAGTTCTTGTCTACTTGTAGATTAATTATTGTATGTTTTCATTGATAACTTTTTGAAATATACCTATTTAAAATTCTGTAAAAGGGCCAAAGTCAAGTTCCAAATAGGCCAAAGTCACTTTGCTAGATGTTGGCCCTTTTAGCTCTCATTTCCGTGTGTGGCTGAGACTGGTTGTTCAAGAGATTTTGAAAGTTTGGACTCATTATTATTATGTTTCAACTATTTCAACAAAGTTTTAAAAGAACTTCAATAGTATGTGTTTATACTTTCAGTAGTAGTTCAATCAATCTCACATGTTAAATCAAGACCCGTGAAGATTCCGGGGTAGAATAGGTCTTCAGCAACCCATACTTGCAGTAAAAGGCGACTATGCTTGTCGTAAAAGGCGACTAACGGGATCGGGTGGTCAGGCTCGCTGACTAGGTTGATACATGTCATCGATCCCAATTGCGTGGATCGATGCTCATGATGTCAATCATTGGATTGTCTGGTTCAGACTCGATTATTTTACAGACAGTCGTCATATAACTGGAATATTGCTGAGTGCGGCGTTAAACAACAAACCAACCAAAGCAAAGCAGAGCAAGAGCAGTGACACCAAGCGGGGGAACCAGTCTAGTCACCACTGCGCCGTGTGGCCAAGTTGTACGCATGCAGCCAATCAAAACGCGTATCAGCATCACGTGATATATACACGTAAAAGAAAATGGCGACTCCGATAAACGTCGGTAACATACACTATTCGGCATCCAAAGTGTCACCACTCAATAAACGACCGATGAAAAGTAGGTACGTAGATTAACTGTAACAAATTTATGAGTTTTGACGGTTGCATCGGTCCAATTCTCTAGGTTAAACTTTTCACAGTGCTATTTGAAACGTCAGTCTAAATGACTGTAGGCAACACTGTAGGCCTAGACGAGATTAGGTCCTTTGGCCTAATACGTTTCTAAAACTCAACATACGCTCATAAATACACTTCACAGTTTTAGATCCTGCAAGAAAGTATTATGTGATGTCATTAACAACCATTTCAGGGAAAGCATAAATACAACAGTCGACATCTGAAAATAATGTATTGACAAAGAAGATTTCCCCATTTTCGCATTTCACGAAAAGGTAAGGATGTCATCTGTGGGTTGACTCCACGTCCTGCTACATACTCCCCCGTCAACAGAAGGCACGTCCCGGGCCGTATAGTAGGGTACTGAGGCTTATTTTGCTCAAATCTAATATGAACGTGCTCAGCCCCACGTTGGGCGCCAATGTCGCGGTCATAAAATTTCCGAGTCCATTGATGGGATTCGAACCACGGACCTTCTGATCCGAGGTCGGACGCCTTGTCCACATGACCAAAGTGGTTAACCCCGTCAGCAAACTGACAAGGTAAAGGATGTCATCTGTGGGATGACTCCACGCCCTGCTACATAAGCACGTACTGTTAGTGTATTGTGAGCTGTTGTATGTTGCCGGCAAGCATGGGTTGCTGAAGACCTATTCTACCCCATTTCAAGGGTCCGCTGACATGGCGACATGACGGCTGTCTGAAAATAATCGAGTCTGGACCACACAATCCAGTGATTGACATCATAAGCATCGATCCACGCAATTGGGATCGATGACCGTGGATCAACCAAGTCAGCGAGCCTGACCACTCGATCACGTTAGTCGCCTTTTACGACAAGCATAGTCACCTTTTACGGCAAGCATGGGTTGCTGAAGACCTATTCTACCCCGGAATCTTCACGGGTCGACTCGCCAATAGAGTATCTTTGGGATGTTCTCGGGCAGAGAGGTACCCAAGAGATCCGGCACCCGCCAATGTGGCCTAGCATGGGAAAGTTCTTCAGACGGAATGGCGGGCAATACCATAGCAGCCATACGCAAGTTTATCAACAGTATGCATCAGCGTAGTGCCATTCGTCACCACTCGCCCCTTTCCGTAACCTGCAAGAAGACTCGCCCCCCCTATCGATGAATGTAATGTGCGAAAATACGACAAACCAATCAGAATGCGCGTATGATTTCAAGTTCCTCGTCAAAGAATCCCTAAGAAATAATTTTTGATTTTATATATATCTTGCATCTAAAAATATACCCAAGACACAGTTAAATGTGTTCAATCATACTGTATAATTCCGCATGTCCCGATGTGCTTTAACTTGCATCTGAAATATGGGGAAATATATGTGAACCATTACGCAAAGAGTTGACAATAATTGTTATAGGTTACCCGTTTGCGCTAAGACGGAACCCGGTCGCAAAAATGGCCATGAGAGGGGCACGAGTCGCTAATCGGCTTGTCCCGGAATAACACGAGTTGGTCATTAATGGCGTAGTGCAAGTATCGCCCAACATGGTGGACACACCAGATAGTGATCTACACGCCCGAAATTAATTTTCAGACTTTTTTCGTCATTAAATCCTCTTTTCGTCTGTTCCTTTTTTGTACGTATTATAGTTGTACCGTGTAAATTAGTAGATTAACCTTCTGTGTTTTTTAACATTTAGACACGTGTGTCGTAAACATCGTATGACATGAACACGAATATAACATTCTATTTTTTACCGAAGAAGATGTCTCAATATAGAACGAATCTAAAGCCCCCGTTACACTATCACAAACTTTGACCAAGTTGGGTGTTTACACTCAACAAAGGTTTTGACAGGCCGTCAACGTTTTGGCGGGAATTATCTTGCCAAGACGGATGCTACTGACGAAAAATGTTTTGCTGTTGTCATATGTATTTTGCATATGGCCATGTTGAAAAGACGGAGTCTGAGTACACAACGGCATATTTGGTCCCGAGAATGGCTGCTCGTTGTTGAACCAAATCAATTAATTCTTCCAACATCTCGTCAGTCCAAAATAGTTGACTAATTTTGCCTTGACTCGATGCACTTCTGGTTGAAAAGGGATAGATGTTCCTTGCATTCTGATTGGCTAAATTAAATCAACGTTATCAAAGTTTGACGAGAAAAAGGATCGGTTTCTTTTCCATCAAAGTCGGTCAAAAACTTTGTCAACTTTTTTGACAGCATGTTACGCTATCAAAAACTTGGTTCAAAAGGACTTTGACCAAGGTTTTTTTATCAAAGATTTTGATAGTGTAACGGGGGCTTTAGTGTTTAGCAAGTCGCAACAGCAGCGGAACCACAAATATCTAGGGCGCTTTGCAAGCCACGAATCGCTCAGAGAAAGCAAATTAATCGCTCATCCTGATGTCTGCAACAGTTCGAAGCGCTTGCCAACTCTTCCAAAATGGCGGCGCAACTAGCGTTTGGTTGCCTTGACGTAATGAAGAACGTAATAGAAGAGGCTCGATGACGAGCTGATCGAATTTATGACTACTTTGAAGATGTACAGCAGGCTGAGGATGATGGGGTCTTCGCTGCCTTTGCTGATTTCCTCGTTGATCCACTCAAGAATTTCTTGTTCCGCTGTCAAAGTAAGGCGCCATTTTGGTTTGAGAACGAAGCGACCTCAGCCAGCGATTGTTTCGCTTGCAAGCGGCTGAAAGTTAGCGCACTGTTGTAAGGCGAATCGCTGTACATCGCTTGCAAGCGATTGGCGCTTTGCAACGCACCCCTAATAACATCAACAATCTTCAGCTATGACGTCATTTCTAGTGTGACGTCATTCCGACCTCATGTCTCAATAAGATTCGAATGACGTCAACAATGCCGCCCGGATGACGGAAACAATACACTGGTGACGTGATATGACCCTAGGGCACACATGATTTTTATGAACCCGATATGTTTGCCCTGGTAGGTAATAAACAATGCCATGAGACGCTTCGAAGCATTATTACGCAAATGATTAGCATGGATTTAATAAAGACTTTATATAATTTATAAAATAATTAAAGATGTAGATAATAACTAATTTGGTACACCTTTGGAAAACTGAAAATTATGTCACTCGGGACATAAACTTGATATCAAATTGAAGCTCGTGTAATATTCTATACTTATTTCACTCGGGACTTAAACTTAACATTAAATTGAAGCTCGTGTAATTATTTCACCTTGAACCAATGGATAACATAAATGTTTACAACACAGATAACGTCTTTTTAAACCAATTCAATGATTCCTGCTTGGATAGATAGAAAAGGCATATACCCCTATGAGCTTTGTCGTTCCTTTCGTACATGTATTAAAATTCACAACACATACTTCGTTAATAAACATGTAGAAAATGTGATGTAGGTTCCAAACAGGTAAATCTAGCGCCCTTCTTTTTAATTTTTTTTTTTAAATAACTCGCTAGAACTTACGGAATGGAAGGTCGAGAAAGCTGCACGAAAACAACAGTAGAAACATTTATTGCCGTGTGCGCTACCATCTAAACAAGTGCAAGAGGAGTTCACTCCCCTAGAAGTTGTTTTGGTTTTTCCTGAGGTAAAAATAGCATTGACGCTACTTAAGCACAACAAGTTTCAAGGTTGTAATTAATCAAGTATTATTAATAAATTTTAAGCTTGTATGCTCATAAGTTTGCCCATATTTAACACGAAATTAACAAATTAAATTTTCCTCAATACGAAACCTACAAACCTGTCTACCAGGGAGCAAACATGGAATTTAATAGTTGAGATGGTTGTCAGTTTGGGTAGGACAATATCACAAGATGGTATTTACTTTTATCATTCATTCACGTGCTTGTGACGGCTGATTGTAAAATACTTCCTAGTGCTGGGCGTTGTCATGGTGGTGACTTCACGTGAGCTTGTCAGATGTGATAAGTTGCATGGTAACATTTAGAAAGCAAAGACACCCATACCCGCTTCTTCCACGAAATAAGGTACGCTGGATCAAGCCCAGAATCAGATATAATACGTCAACAGATTGTTTTCATTGTCGTTTTCAGCAATACATGATCACACCTTTGTGATTATTTAAATTGTACTGGGTGCCGCGCTATGACGTCTTACTTTGTGTTTTATGACTGCTAATTAGTTTTAGCTCCAAGCAGATTATTATTTATTCGGGACTGTGGGAATTAATCGTTTTGACAGAAGACAGATTGCTTTGTCTGTTTGTGCAATTGGTGATTATAATGTTATTTTATATTTATGATAAAACCAATATTTTTCAACAACTGTTCCAGCTTCATAATCAAGCTGTCTATATATAGTGTCAAACAAGTGGAAATTACTGGTTTGAAGCAGGATTTGAGAGAAAACTTTCTTGCAAACCATTTTAAATATATTTCATATCACTGAGATTTGTTTCATATGATTGATAAAATGCTGTTTTAATATGCAGTATGCCTACATAGTTTCCGAACCCGTGAAGATTCAGGGTAGAATAGGTCTTCAGCAACCCATGATTGCCGTAAAAGATGACTATGCTTGTCATTAGAGGCGACTAATGGGAGGCGCACTGACTTGTTTGAAGCATGTAATCAATCCCAATTGCATTGATCAATGCTCATGATGTCAATCACTGGATTGTCTGGTCCAGACTCGATTATTTACAGACCGCTGTCATATATCTGGAATATTGATGAGTGCGGCGTTTAACAACAAATAAACAAACAATCACTGGATTGTCGGGTCCAGACTCGATTATTTACAGACCGCCGTCATATAGCTGGAATATTGCTGAGAGCGGCAATGGACAACAAACAAACAAACAAACATAGTTTCCATGGATCTCATTGAACAAAAAAGATGTGTGAGATTTGTTCTGAATGAAACTCATCATGCTACTCCCGAATGTCTTTGATCAAAATGGAAGTTCTATACCTTATTATACAAATGATTCCCCCTTTGTCTGTCTGACCGGACCTTGTCACACCACAGTAAGGGTGAAATGATTACATTGGTGCATCGTGCGTTTAAATGTGGTGATACGATGCACAATAACATATTTTCTGTATCAATACAAGATGATACACTTGCTGAAATAAATTACTTACCGGTACTACTCGTTTTAATGACCTTAGCATTTTTGTCATTCAAATATTGCGAAATGTGTTGTAATTAGCATGATTAGTGTTTCAAGTTCACTACTAAAAATATCCACTACGAACATGTGTCTACAGCTAGCACTTTCTTCTGAACCTGCTCTGAAATATTCATAGTAGGAAGTTACCACGTGATTTGACGTATGTATACATGTAACTATACATCTCGTATCATCATGATCATGACCGATGTCTCATGATTGGGACCCTGCTGTATCATTTCACCCCAACACCTCAGGGGTCGGGTCCTCAGGTCTTTGTTTTTGCATATGGACCTCGTCAATAGTAATCATTCATTTTGTTATACCGAAATTCACTTTGAAGTTTATGAATATGATCCAGGGTTTGAATAGATCTTCAGCAACCCATACTAGCTGTAAAATGCGACTATGCTTGTCGTAAGAGGCAACTAACTGGATCGGGTGGTCAGGCTCGCTGACTTGGTTGATGCTTGTCATCGATCCCAATTGCGTGGATCGATGCTCATGATGTCAATCACTGGATTGTCTGGTTCAGACTCGATTATTTACAGATTTATTTTGCTGAGTGCGGCGTTAAACAACAAAGAAAGAAACAAAACATGTTGCCAGGCTTGCCAGTGGTAGAAATTGACACTAGTGCCATACTAGTTAGTCCTATGGTCCTTGCTATATTGTCCCGTAGTGAAGGTATCATAAGGACTAGTAGTGAGTGAGTGAGTGAGTATGGTTTTATGCTGCTTTTAGCAATATTCCAGCAATATCACGGTGGGGGACACCAGAAATAGCCTTCACACATTGTACCCATGTCGGGAATTGAACCCCGGGTCTTCAGCGTGACGAGCGAACGCTTTAAACACTAGGCTACCTGACCGCCCCCATAAGGACTAGTAGAAATTTGTCATTCTTGAGGGTTTTGCTATATGTTATCATCATTAGGACTAGTGGACTAGAAATAGTTTCTATCACTGTATGCATGAGTAGAACAATGTAGAACTGGATGAATTTAGTGAAATGCTGTGCCAAAAAGGGAAAAACTTTCCACTTGATTAATTGATGTATTTTATGAAACTGAAACCAATCTATAGTATAAAAACAAGTCTAGCCAGCTCAATTCCACATCAGCATCAGGAAATATTTTTATAGAGGCGAGACATGTATTGTATTATAAAAGATTTCATATACTATACGGTAGTCTGGGGTGATACATGTTTCGTATTCCCTGGTCAATGTAACAGTGTTGTGACAATGTGTTGAAAGGTCAAGGTTCAGTATGGCCATGGGATTTGTTTTCGTCCAAGGATAATGTTTCATGAAACTGATAAGTAGGAGATGTTGACTCAGAGGTGTTGTTCTGATACAGTGTTGTTAGACCTGGGGTACATACAGTGTTGTTCTGATACAGCGTTGTTAGACTTTTGGTACATACATTGTTGTTCTGATACTGTGTTGTTAGACTTGGGGTACATACAGTGTTGTTCTGATTCAGTGTTGTTAGACTTTTGGTACATACAGTGTTGTTCTGATACAGCGTTGTTAGACTTGGGGTACATACAGTGTTGTTAGACTTAGGGTACATACAGTGTTGTTCTGATACAGTGTTGTTAGACTTGGGGTACATACAGCGTTGTTAGACTTAGGGTACATACAGTGTTGTTCTGATACAGTGTTGTTAGACTTGGGGTACATAGAGTGTTGTTCTGATTCAGTGTTGTTAGACTTTTGGTACATACAGTGTTGTTCTGATACTGTGTTGTTAGACTTTGTGTACATACAACATTGTTCTGATACAGCGTTGTTAGACTTGGGGTACATACAGTGTTGTTAGACTTAGGGTACATACAGTGTTGTTCTGATACAGTGTTGTTAGACTTGGGGTACATACAGTGTTGTTCTGATACAGTGTTGTTATACTTGGGGTACATACAGTGTTGTTAGACTTAGGGTACATAGAGTGTTGTTCTGATACAGTGTTGTTAGACTTTTGGTACATACAGTGTTGTTCTGATACTGTGTTGTTAGACTTTGTGTACATACAACATTGTTCTGATACAGCGTTGTTAGACTTGGGGTACATACAGTGTTGTTAGACTTAGGGTACATACAGTGTTGTTCTGATACAGTGTTGTTAGACTTGGGGTACATACAGTGTTGTTCTGATACAGTGTTGTTATACTTGGGGTACATACAGTGTTGTTAGACTTAGGGTACATAGAGTGTTGTTCTGATTCAGTGTTGTTAGACTTTTGGTACATACAGTGTTGTTCTGATACTGTGTTGTTAGACTTTGTGTACATACAACATTGTTCTGATACAGTGTTGTTAGACTTGAGGTACATACAGTGTTCTGATACAGTGTTGTTAGACTTGGGGTACATACAGTGTTGTTAGACTTGAGGTACATACAGTGTTCTGATACAGTGTTGTTAGACTTGGGGTACATACAGTGTTGTTAGACTTGGGGTACATACAGTGTTGTTAGACTTGGGGTACATACAGTGTTGTTCTGATTCAGTGTTGTTAGACTTTTGGTACATACATTGTTGTTCTGATACTGTGTTGTTAGACTTGGGGTACATACAGTGTTGTTCTGATTCAGTGTTGTTAGACTTTTGGTACATACAGTGTTGTTCTGATACTGTGTTGTTAGACTTTGTGTACATACAGCATTGTTCTGATACAGTGTTGTTAGACTTGAGGTACATACAGCATTGTTCTGATACAGTGTTGTTAGACTTGGGGTACATACAGTGTTCTGATACAGTGTTGTTAGACTTAGGGTACATACAGTGTTGTTCTGATACAGTGTTGTTAGACTTGGGGTACATACAGTGTTGTTCTGATACAGTGTTGTTATACTTGGGGTACATACAGTGTTGTTCTGATACAGTGTTGTTAGACTTGGGGTACATACAGTGTTGTTCTGATACAGCGTTGTTAGACTTGGGGTACATACAGTGTTGTTAGACTTGGGGTACATACAGTGTTGTTCTGATACAGTGTTGTTATACTTGGGGTACATACAGTGTTGTTCTGATACAGTGTTGTTAGACTTAGGGTACATACAGTGTTGTTAGACTTAGGGTACATACAGCGTTGTTCTGATACAGTGTTGTTAGACTTGGGGTACATACAGTGTTGTTCTGATACAGTGTTAGACTTGGGGTACATACAGTGTTGTTCTGATACAGTGTTGTTAGACTTAGGGTACATACAGTGTTGTTCTGATACAGTGTTGTTAGACTTAGGGTACATACAGTGTTGTTCTGATACTGTGTTGTTAGACTTTGTGTACATACAACATTGTTCTGATACAGTGTTGTTAGACTTGAGGTACATACAGTGTTCTGATACAGTGTTGTTAGACTTGGGGTACATACAGTGTTGTTAGACTTGAGGTACATACAGTGTTCTGATACAGTGTTGTTAGACTTGGGGTACATACAGTGTTGTTAGACTTGGGGTACATACAGTGTTGTTAGACTTAGGGTACAAACAGTGTTGTTCTGATTCAGTGTTGTTAGACTTTTGGTACATACATTGTTGTTCTGATACTGTGTTGTTAGACTTGGGGTACATACAGTGTTGTTCTGATTCAGTGTTGTTAGACTTTTGGTACATACAGTGTTGTTCTGATACTGTGTTGTTAGACTTTGTGTACATACAGCATTGTTCTGATACAGTGTTGTTAGACTTAGGGTACATACAGTGTTGTTCTGATACAGTGTTGTTAGACTTGGGGTACATACAGTGTTGTTCTGATACAGTGTTGTTATACTTGGGGTACATACAGTGTTGTTCTGATACAGCGTTGTTAGACTTGGGGTACATACAGTGTTGTTCTGATACAGCGTTGTTAGACTTGGGGTACATACAGTGTTGTTAGACTTGGGGTACATACAGTGTTGTTCTGATACAGTGTTGTTATACTTGGGGTACATACAGTGTTGTTCTGATACAGTGTTGTTATACTTGGGGTACATACAGTGTTGTTAGACTTAGGGTACATACAGTGTTGTTCTGATACAGTGTTGTTAGACTTGGGGTACATACAGTGTTGTTCTGATACAGTGTTGTTATACTTGGGGTACATACAGTGTTGTTCTGATACAGCGTTGTTAGACTTGGGGTACATACAGTGTTGTTAGACTTAGGGTACATACAGTGTTGTTAGACTTAGGGTACATACAGCGTTGTTCTGATACAGTGTTGTTAGACTTGGGGTACATACAGTGTTGTTCTGATACAGTGTTAGACTTGGGGTACATACAGTGTTGTTCTGATACAGTGTTGTTAGACTTAGGGTACATACAGTGTTGTTCTGATACAGTGTTGTTAGACTTAGGGTACATACAGTGTTGTTCTGATACAGTGTTGTTAGACTTTGGGTACATACAGTGTTGTTCTGATACAGTGTTGTTAGACTTGGGGTACATACAGTATTGTTCTGATACAGTGTTGTTAGACTTTTGGTACATACAGTGTTGTTCTGATACAGTGTTAGACTTAGGGTACATACAGCGTTGTTCTGATACAGTGTTGTTATACTTGGGGTATATACAGTGTTCTGATACAGTGTTGTTAGACTTGGGGTACATACAGTGTTGTTCTGATACAGTGTTGTTATACTTTGGGTATATACAGTGTTCTGATACAGTGTTGTTATACTTGGGGTATATACAGTGTTGTTAGACTTTGGGTGCATACAGTGTTGTTCTGATACAGTGTTGTTAGACTTGTATCAGTGTCACATGGCAGTCTTTGACTGTAAGTGTTACACATGTAAGTGTTATTCCATGAAGGTATTTCTTCAGCGGACAGCTGCTGTTATCGGTAAATGGGTGAAGACAGATACTATTTTTAATTCTGTTTAAAATAATTTGCAGATACATAAACAATGACAATAAAAAAGAAATGAGTGTATTTTATGAAATCTTATATTTGCTGCAAATTGTCAAATTTTCACTTCCTTGGTCCATAATCTAGACGTTATGAATGTGTAAGCTTACTAATGCATTATTTAAATAATGTAATAAACATATCTTTCACATGTTTGAACAGTAGGATTAGACCTTTTAAATGCTGTATAACATGTAATATTGACAGTAGCGGGTGACCTCGCCTACATGAACACTACCAAGCTGACTGCCGTTCATTTCCCGATGCTCTGCGCATCATGGAATTTGCTCACATGAGGCACTGTCTTCATCAGCTGATGAACATCAACAAATACAACTTCAATCCTTAAGTAGCAAAGATGTTTTACGAGCAGATATTTTCCTTGATAAATGTTGGCTTCATCTATCACACATGAGTCTCTGGGAACTTTCAAGTTAAATAAAGTCAATGTCACTCACATTTTGATTTTTTCAAGACTTTGTTTCAGGTTAAACTCAGGTTGAAATTGATTATTCATATCTACTCATTAGGTTTACACCATTGTGTACAAGTTTGAGATTGAGTGAGTGAGTGAGTGAGTATGGTTTTACGCCGCTTTTAGCAATATTCCAGCAATATCAAGTATCTTTACATAATGACTCTCCATGATCATGTCATCATATCATTTTTGACAGTTCTCAAAACAAACATCTATTTGAGAGCCAGCTGATATATAAATGCTCAAACATTTAACATTGTTACAATTGCAGCATTGTGTTCAAATTTGATGTCTTCAACTGTAATCAGTTATAATAAATAGCAAACAACTTCAAATAAATGTAATCTTTTATTTATCACGATTGTAATCATGGTAATAGGTAAAGTTTCATGGCCACTTGCGTTCCATTTTGGCTCCTGATTTAGAATATTTACTTGGCTATCAACAAGTAAGTCAAAAAGTGAACTTTGATCCCTGTACAGTGTTGTTAAACAGTGTTTCTTTGTTTCAGAGTCCACCATGTATTCAGCGCTAGGCTTCCTGCCGATCGCCCTCGTGTTGCTGGCGGCGGGGACATTCGTCGTGTCCTACGTCATCGCTGTTGTACGGGGCGACGTCACGGCTGCATTTCCGTACATCAGGTACAAGAATATATCAGAACTATGTATGGTTTTCATGTGCTTTTGGTGCAGGGAAATATAAACACTTCTGTTCACCTTCAAAACCACCAATGAATAATGAAAGCTTTTTATGTTTATTTTTACTTTGAATGAAATATTTAAATACATGTACCCCCGTAATTTTCAAAAAAAAGGATGAAAATTCCAATTTTGAACAAAATGACGTAATTTTTCCCCAATTTGTCTGCCAAGATAAAGTTTTGAGATAAATCACTGAAAATGAATGGGAGTGTTAACTACAGCCTGCTTTAAAAATAGTCTTGTCCTGGAAATTTTTATGGTGGATTTTACACAGTATTTTCCTTGATACGATTTTCTTTCTCAAATCCATATTTAAAAAAGTAACCTGCCATTCAGCTTGATGATACAAAATTAGTTAAATATGAAGTTTTTTTATTTTTATCAAAACAGCTTGAAGAGAGAGGGAGGGAGAGTTACTGATGATATTTTACACAACATATTTTCAACATTGTGGAGGTTCTTGAGTACTCAATGCCTGCAAATTTGAACATTTGAAATTTTCAGGTATCAAATTTCGAGGGTTGATTGTTAGGTTCTGAGTCTCTCATAGAAGGAATTATGTAATAGTGAAATCTTTCGTTGTAGACATTAAATTATGTCGTAGAGATATATCAACAACAGCTTGAGTCATTTGAGCAAATTGTTTCTCTGTGACAAGTCCGTAAAATAAGCAGGGTCAAACGTGTGGAACATGCAGCACATCTTATTGAATGTATTCGGTCAGTGTTGATGTACTGTTCTGTAATAAAAATTTATTTGTTATCTACTCTAGCATGTATATTACAAATGTCATCTTCCCGAGGCAAGGGAGTTAACTGACTATAAAAGTCTATAGTTTCAACCCTTGCCAAACTAGGCTGGAATTATGGAGTTATATTTTAGCTGTACTAATGAGTCTATGCATAGTCCAATCAAAGTCGTGTAACAAAATCGACATCTGGTTCGTAAACTCAGGGATGTGAAATCTCCACGGAAACGCGGAAAATCGCATTTTTTTAAAACAGTAGTCCTCGGAAAAAATCATCTTCCGCGTAAAAATATATTAATTAACACTCCGAAAAATATTATACCGTCGCGGATTGTCCTGTTTTCGATCAGAGCTTTCAGCATCATAGATTTTTGGACATCATACGTTTTCTATCACGATTACTTGCACTTTAACGTGGGGTGTGGCATCACACAGAAATTGTAAATACTCAGATGATGGCTTGTTTTTAAGATAAAGTTGTCTTTTAGCCTATATGTGAATGAGATGTTTTACAGTTGTTCCACAGGGACTTGATGATAGCGTGTATAGCATAATATATTCATGTAGAAAAAAAATTCACATCCCTCTATATATGTATACAGAGGGGTGTAAATGTTTTTCGACAGAATATATTATACTATACACACCAGAGCTCCAGATAAGCTGCGTATCTGCGTAAAATACGCATCAGAAATGCAGAAATACGCAGTAAAATAAAATCCAAGGGTATCAAATACGCAACGAACATTACAGATGAGTCCTTATTCACTAGAGTGCCCACTTTGATACCTATGAATTTCAAACAGTTGTAAATTTAATTCCAAGGAGAGTATCTGCAAAATCTGAACTACATTGGATACATCATGAATTTTGGAGATAGTAAACATATTTTGAGCTTTTTAAACAATGTATATAAATTAAATAAAAGAATTTTTAAATTAAAACAAGTGTGTTTTCTGAGTTCTGTTTGTTACATGTCTGTGCATACCTCCAATCTGTAGGCTGTATTCCACATTCAGTTCAATATTAATGTACGATTTTAACAGAATGTAACAGGTACCTTTGTACTTTAACAGATTTCAATAAAAAAAAAATTGAAAAAAAAAAAAAATTAATACAAATGTACAATTAATTTGACAAGTGTCGGACGTAACAATGTCTGTCCTCGATGGGTGGTGAACAAAAACATCATTTTGTAACGAATTGTGAAACCACAGAAAGTTACTTCGGAAGCAGAATGAAAGTTGGTGATCAATGTATGTTAAACCTAAACATGAAATCAAAACAGGTTTGCAACCACAGAAAATAAATGCAAATCATAAACGTCTATAGAAAACTCTGTCCCACTGTTACGGGCGAATTGTCGATCATAATTTAACTTTTCTGATCGCTACACGTCATCTGGTTTATATTCCGTCATCGGATTTGCCAAGTTCCGGTTGGTTTCCACATGATACGAATTACATGATTGCCGAAATTTGGTCAGCAGCAGAGATGGCGCCAGAGAAGAAGGATGCTTCCACGTCTGTCTCGGTAAGTGTAAATGTTACAGGCGACCCAATGTTACGGGCGAACATTGAATTAGTCGATTTATATACGATAGTTCAAGTTTTCACCAGTTCGGCCACAAGTACTTTAGAAAAGTAATTCAAACACACAATTAAACACGACTACTAGAGTTTGCTTCGCACTATGAATAAGAACAAGCTTTGCGCAAAGCCTCGCATAGAAAAAGTTGGACAGACTTACTTCGTTCGGGCATAACATTGAGACAGACATTTTATTGTCGGTCGTAACAAGTGGACATATTATCTGACGGTCGGACAAACTGGTAGACAGACGACTTCGGTCGGGCAAAATAGTATATATTTTTATGGACCTACCTGTAATATCATTCATTTATTTAATCTATCACATTTGACAATGTCGGAAATACGTATTCCTTTTCAATTTATCATTTTACATCGATAAATTAAAAAAGTATTCACTGTTTTCCGTGATGTTATTGAAAATAAAATTATCGCACAACGGGTCCACATCGAACATGTCAAAGAGCAAAATATAGACGTTTTAAACAAATCTTTAAATATATTATACAAAGTAATAAATAAAATCAACAAAAATATATATAAAAGTAATCAAACTTACATAGATGGGTTATTATTTCCATATGTTCGTGTATCGCGTGTAATGCAAGTCAAATGACATCTCGGCTTTCATCGCCTTGAATTCTCGGCTCGGACACAATGTTTAATGCCATAATATATGCATGAAAAATCTTTGTCACAGCTCATAACCTAGCACGATGCATTCACGAAGTTCCGTATTTTTAATATATATCATGATTTCCTGCTTAAAACGTTCAGAATAATACGATTTAACGAAAATCTTTCGTCAACTTCTGAAAATTACCAAACACGAACTTGTTATCACAGCTGTAATTTGATTGGCTGCCTTAGGTCACGTGCTCAAATTTGGCTAATCGCGAACCTTGTAGCAGATTTCGGCAAGAAAGCCTCATAAGAAACCAATTTTATTCCAATGACATCGATTGTTATAACTACGGAACAAAAACCAGACCATGTTACGAGCGTGTAGATGGAGGAATAAGCTTTCCAGCGATGTGTCATATGCCATTCTTCAACGAACGTGTTATTCATACGAAGTCTCGAAAACGGGGGTATTTCTTCATGTTACTGAGCGGACAGCCGCTGTTATCGGGAAATGGGTGATGACAGAAACTATTTATAATTCTTTTTAAAATGATTTTCCAATTACGTAAACAATGAAAATAAAACAGAAATGGGTAAGTGGATTTTATGAAATCTTATATTTGCCGAAAATCGTCAAGTTTTCGCTTCCTTGGTCCTTAATCTGGATGTTAACTACGTGTTAGCTTACATTTTATTTATTTACAACAAACTTATGCATTATTTTAAATAATGTGAAAAACATAACTTTCATATTTATAAAATATAGGATTATAGGATCAGACCTTTCAATTGATGTATAACATGTAGCAGCAAATATATTTTACAAGCAGATATCTTCTTTGATGAATGTTGGCTTCATCTATCACACAAGAGTCTCTGGGAACTTGTGAGTGAGTGAGTGAGTTGGGTTTAACGCCGCTTTTAACAGTATTCCAGTTATATCGTGTCCCAGCAGTAAACACTTCTGGTTGACTGGTGTTGAAAGAGTTAATTGACTCATTTATATCTTGGAGCTACTTTAATCTTCCATGGGGCTATGTAAAACATGTTAAACATTTACATACAAGGGTTAAAACAATAAATGACATGAAAAAATGTGAACATGAATTTAGGTTAGGATGGATGACTTTTTGTAAATTAAAACCTGAGAACTGTACTGTTTCAAAGAAAATTATACCTCCATATAAAAATTACTCATTCAAAACTATATTATAGTTTTTTTAATTTGAATGCTGACATTTTTCAAAGTAGGGCCGAACAAAATTAATTGTGCGTTTCCTAGATTAGGATTTTAAGTGTGTAGGTCTACATCAAGCTTTATAAAAGTGAGTTTAAATTAAAAAAATAATGATAAAAAAATTCCCTATTCCTTAATCCTCGGAACATTTCATAAAAAATCAAAATATCTCCCCCCTCCCCTTTTCAGTTTTTTTAGCTTGGCGTAACAGAATATAAGTGTTGTCCTAGTTTGTTTATGAATAAAATATAGATCTATATGTTTATTGACAGTGCATTTTGCTTTATTGTAAATTAATGAATGTACTTATTGGTCTCATTAGAATGGTGAGAGGTGTAGGCGATGGGAGGCAGCTGAAAAAAGGTGACCAAGACTACATCGAACAGGAACGAAAGCGAAAAGCTGATTATAGGGGTCGGATGAATCCTGAACAAGTTGACAGGTAACAAACTTCAGAATTAACTTTGTGTTTTCCAATATAAAAACAAGATGGAGTTACTCCAAGTCAACAAGGGAAATATATATAGTCCGATATGTAGTAGATTAATAGATGGGTCCATTTCTCTGTTTATCAGTATGATCACATTGGACTCAACAATATACTTTTGGTTTTTAACAAAATGGAAACTCACATCCTCCAAAGGGAAGTAATTATACACAATATCATTACAAAATCTCATTTATGCTTAATAAATTAATCTTAAAAATAAAATACCACCTGGATATTAAACAAAACTTCAAATTTATATTTACTATATGGATGTGCTTCACTTTGGTAAAAGCATGGTAAATTACAATTATTACTTGTCTTGATACTTCCTAGATCACAATTAAATTCAGTTATACAGTCTATATTTTGCTTATTAGAACCACTGTGGCAAAGTGGTTAAGTCTAGAACTCAAAATCCACAGGAAATTTGGGTCTGGGTTCAAATGAAAAGTTGGCCGAGTTTGTGGCAGCCCAATCTAAAATTAACCTGGTTGTTCATGGGGCAATATTTACATTTTCAGTCTTCTGTCTTCAGTCTGCTTTCGTGAATCCTTCAATAAAATTAAACTGTGCAGCTTGCTTATGAAATCATGTTGAAGTGGCAAATACATATTATATATTATAATTTTGATTTCAACAGGTGGATGATTGGCCATGGGTGACTTTTTTCACTAAAGTGAAACAAAGATGGCTGGCAAAGGACATCCACCACACTGTCATGTTCGAAGAAGTCAGAATAGCAATTGATTGGACATTATTTGAGGTAGGACATTTAATAGAACTTTATCTAACTCAAAATATTGCATCATATTTCTGACTGTTGTACTGAAAGAATTCAAGTTTTTGGTCATGAATATAATGTTGTTTAAAGGGACAGTCCCCGAAAACACTGTTTTTATGGTTAGATATGTTAGCATGTGCTGTGCATTGGAGCTGTACAACAATTTCAACAATAATCTTCATCTGCACATAGATAATAACAAAATAGCAAATTAGATTCACTATGAATGGACAGATTTTCACCAAACTTTACCATGTGTTGCACAAGTGTATCTTGCAAAAGTGAAGTGTAGCATACTAAAGTAGGTCACCTTACCTATATATTATTGACTTATTATCTTTCGATGAGGGACTATGAATTGCCTTGCCTTGTATGTTAATGTTCTTCAATTTTTAACATTTTATTGGTGATGCAATTATATATATCTTGTTGATACAGGAGATGACTAACGCCCTGTCCACCTTTAGAATGGACTACGAGATCAAGAACCAAGAGGACACCAATAACCAGTTTCTGAATAAACATAAAAAGGAGTATGGCAAAACTGATATTGGTCATTGAGATAAACAATATTCAAGATACAGGATAGCTAATGTTTAATTGCACAGTGGAAGACTTTCAAAGTTAAATTAAATTAAATTAATTTTTCTAAAATGATTTTTCATGTGGATACAAAATAGCAGCAATTGTACAGCTTTGCCTAGGAATAATTTATTGTGTCGCAGTTTTTTCCTGATTAAGTCTTGCGATAATACTTTGAATTCATCAACAATTTGAAGTGGTTTGTAAAATATTCAGTACAATGAATAATTGTCAAACAGTTACTGAATATATAAATTATAAAGGGTTATTCCTAAATGAATGTTTGAGAGGGCTGGGATGTACATTTAAAAATATTTAATGAGTGGTGGGGATATCAAGATTCCACAATCTGTTATTTTTAATATACAACTTGCATACAGCATTATAGTTTTAAAATTTGATGGGCGTGTGGGGTCCCTGAGTCTTAGAAAATATCTTCCTGCCCTGCCCACATTAATTTCTGGAAAACCCCAAACCACATTCCAGGCTGTTGGGAATCTTGTCTACCGATAAACAATTGTACTTGGAATGAAATTATGTATTAATACAGTAATGGAATGTGTTATCACTATATATTACAACTTCATTACAATGTAATTACCCTGGTGTGTTAATTAGTAACTTAATGTCAAAATAATATCTAGAAACAAAAGAATTTTCTTCTAGAACATATTTCGGGCATACCATGAGGCACAAGCATTTTTTTTTACAAAGTAGACACATTTATAGTTGGTTGTAAAGAAGACATAATTGCATGATACTTCATGAATTTTTATGCTTAATTAGATATTATTGATATGCATATGATTTAATTCAGAAATAATGAACAGCTGTTATTTTCCGGCGATGGGACAGCCTTATTGGGTTGTTTATATTGAAAAATATTCCATGGTTATAGACCAGTTAGAAATTATTTTGAGATACATCGTCATCACCATTGTAGAATTTGTGACTTGTCACACAGTATGATTTGGAATATGAAATAAAAGTGGTTTGCAGACTGTATTTTATCCTGTTTTGCTTTGTATGTCCTTTGTTCGTCCTGACATCACAAATGTCTGTCCTTTGTTCGTCCCGACATCACAAATGTCTGTCCTTTGTTCGTCCCGACACAAAACCCTGATTTTTATTTGTCTTGTGCTGCTTAAATAGTTGTAATTAACCTTTAATTGTTTGATTATATCTTAATGTACTTGTAATGTTTCATTCCATACTTCAGGGAACATTTAATTTTTCTTGTAAATTGCTATTTTAAAGCATCATGTCTGTCTCCGTTTGTCCCAACACTTTTTGATTTTTTTTTAACCTTGAAAGAGTTTCAAGACATTGATATATTCACATGTATTAATCCCATTTTGGGTGGCAAGTTGTACCCACTACCCGAAATGCAAATGAATTAAAACAGATTTATATGAAGAAAACTTAGGTTTTGTCTGTCCTCGTTCGTCCCAACATGTCTGCGTACCATCAGTGTTTTCATGTCAAAATTAAACAAACTGAGCCAGATATTATCTTCCCATGTCCAAAGATGAAAAAAAGAATGTTTAAACTTGTCAAAAATGCCACCACCTTGTCTTTTCATAAATATCTAAATACTGACTCCAATGTAACACTTCAATGGGCATAAAAGTGAATAAGGACTCAGATACGCTACAAAAATAAAACTTGTGCGTATCATCAAAATATTGTGAAGTAACCCTGCGTATTCGATTAGCAAATCAGCAACTTATTTTGAAATTATAAACGGACATTTCGTCAACCTTGCCAAACTCCACGATGACAGTTACATCATGATCATTTGCCATCACACTTTCTTGTGGAAGTATCGTGGTAGTTTTGAGTCCTATAAAGCTCTCGAACCCACACGACACCAGTTTGCAGGGACTAGATGAATAGTGTTTTAAATATTTACCTTAAATACCCACATGTGTAAAAACTAGTGGGTAACAGAAATTTGAATACCCAGATACAATTACTGATACCCAATGATTTTAAAATGCATGCGTAAAATACCCACAACACCAAAAGCTTATCTGGAGCTCTGACACACTATCATCGAGTTCCTGTGAGTTGTTCATGTTATTAGCGAGAAAACAATGAATGTTTCTTCAGCATCCGAAAACCAATAACACGGGGATGTATGTTTTATTAATGTCTTATGTTTGCAATGGAGTGTTTTTGTTTTTTTCAACAAAAGGTAAGTGAGTACAAGGTAAGTTTTTTTCAATATGCTTCAACATGGGGAAAGGGTCAGACAATGCACGCTTGTGACAGTTGTCCTTGTGGCTGGGGGATGGGGGGTGAAGTTTATGGCAGTATTGCTCCCAGACTCGGCGGGAGTTTTGCTGCATCAGCCATCATATGTTTATTTGACTTATTGACTTTTGCCATTTTCATTTCTTGGTGTGAATGTTGTCCAAACTGCACGAAATTGCTTAAAATGCAATCAAATGTTTATAACATTTCTTTGGGAGGGGGGGACGTCCCCCCCCTAGACTTTTCCTCTTTTTCCGGGAAAACCTGCTTACATCCCTGTAAACTGCTGTGCAGATTTCGGTCGAATGCAGGGTTGCAAAGCATGTGTATCAACAACTTAGAGTCAACAGATATTTTCAAAATCTTTCATGCTTGTAATCAAGGTGCTCATGTGATTTGATGCACTTCGCGATGTATGACCCGTTATATTACAATATAGATCTTGATTAGCAATCATATTGTCTTGACTGGGCGCCACCATTTTGTTAGAAACAAATGCCAGTGATATGAGAGGTGGAATCTGATTAGTCAATAGGAGCAGCATAGAAGGGAAGTAACTAACAGCCACTGGTGGCGCTACGATCAAGTCCAGAAAATCCAGCCTATTTCGGCAAGGGTTGAAACTGGACTTTTACAGTCAGTTAACTCCCTTGCCTCGGGAAGATGACAGATGTGGGCCTGCAACTTTCAAGATGGGCTAGCTACATTTATGAGACACGAGCCTGCCAGCTTGTTGGCAATGAGAATTATTTCTGACATTGCCTCTCAAAAATCTGACAGTACAACAGAGTCAAGGAAGGAGATTTTGTCACTCTTCATGCGATTTGGTGAGGATAATGTGCCTACCTACTATCTATCATTATCCCCCGCCCAACAAGTTGGGGATATAGAAACGGGCTCCGTCTGTCCGTCCGTCACGTTTCGTTTCCGGAGCATAACTCAGAAACCGTTCAATATTTTTTCATGAAACTTTGCATGTCTGTCAGGTGCATGCTGATCTGGTGCCTTTTGCTATTTAGAGATTATAGAAATTTTTATTTTTTACGTTTCCATGGCAACAAGATGGACTTAGGTTCTGTGAGGGTAGGGTTCCTTTCCGAAGCATAACTCAGAAACCGTTCAATATTTTTTCATGAAACTTTGCATGTCTGTCAGGTACATGCTGATCTGGTGCCTTTTGCTATTTAGAAATTTTAGAAATTTTTATTTTTTACGTTTCCATGGCAACAAGATGGACTTAGGTTCCAAACTCTTCTTTTTTTACAATTTCCATGACAAGTTCCACCTCGGTTAAATAAGGTTAGGGTTTGTTTACATTTAATTATGTCATTAATTCTGCAACAGAGGCGGGGGATATAGCGTGGCAAACTCTTGTTTCACTTTATTTGCCAAACAGACTTAACAAGGTCGTTGAACTCTGGTCTGTTTCAGTGACACTGGAGCTAAGATTCCGGAGAGCAGCGTCTTCGGGCAGTTCCTAAACCTAGCTGCTTTCATATGTGAGTTCACATCAAATAGCTGATTATGTAACTTAACTTCCACTTGGTTGTATACTCCCCAGGGAGCTGAGAATGAGATTTGAATGCACACAAGTTTATTGACTAATGCCTCATGTGAACATGCTTGTGTGGCACCTGGTTCTATGTGAGTGGACAAGTGATAGCGTTCATGTATTACAATATGGATTATTATGATGATTCAGTAGAAAAAGTTGTGGCTGAATTATGCTCATGGAGTCAACTAGCTGATAAATATTGTAAAATGAAGACAATTATTATCACTTGATAACGTAACCATGTGATCAAAGACTGATAAATCACTTCAAGGCCAACAAGTAGTCTTACCTTATATTTCAACCTGCAAAATCTACATGTTAAAGTGACCCGTGAAGATCCGGGGTAGAATAGGTCTTCAGCAATCCATGCTTTCCGTAAAAGGCGACTCTGCTTGTCCGAAAAGGCGACTAACGGGTGGTCAGGCTCTCTGACTTGGTTGATGCATGTCATCGTATCTCAATTGTGTTTATCAATGCTCATGATATCAATCACTGGATTGTCTGGTCCAGACTTGATTATTTACAGACCGCCGTCATATAGCTGGAATATTGCTGAGTGGCGTTAAACAACAAAAACAAACACACAAAAAAACATGTTTCAGCATTCAGGAGATCTTGACGTACCTGGAGGACTCAGTCCCACACCAATTCTTTTGTAAAATCACCGTAATTCAGCAGCTAAAATTACAAAATTCTGCTGTTAAAACATATCATTTCCCCTGAAACATTAATACAAATTTATTTTTTCTTTACAATTATTAATCTCTTGCTTTGAGGGGGGCACGGGTGGCCCAGTCGTCTAAGCCGCCGCGATTTGCTGTGCAGAGTTGCGTCCCTTGGACACGCCAGAAACCTATGATTGTGGGTTTGAATCTCGGTTCACCCCGATTATGTTTCTAAGTTTGTCAGCACCATATTCGTGTACGTGGGTTTAACCGAAGTGGTAGACCCGTGAAGATTCCGGGGTAGAATAGGTCTTCAGCAACCCATGCTTGCCGTAAAAGGTGACTATGCTTGTCGTCAAAGGCGACTAACGGGATCGGGTGGTCAGGCTCACTTACTTGGTTGATGCATGTCATTGATCCCAATTGCTTGGATCGATGCTCGTGATATCAATCACTGGATTGTCTGGTCCAGACTCGATTTTTTTACAGACCGCCGTCATATAGCTGGGATATTGCTGAGTGCAGCGTTAAACAACAAACCAACCAACCAACCAACCAAAGTGGTAAACGTCTAAGACCTACATTACTTCAGGCTTAAAAAGCCGCTTTCCTCTCCTGACATAGATCAACTCTCCTGACAAACTGATATTTCACCCATTCCAGCGTTCTGCACAATGTACATCCGCTACAAGATGATTGATGCCATATCAACTGGAGAAGATCGGTGGTTGGTCCGAATGAACCGGTTCACGATGGTGATGGGCATCATCTCCTCCCTCGGCTGCTCCATGGTCGCCAACTTCCAGGTGATCACACAGCCTCAGTTGAATAGCTAGAGTAACAGTAGACGAATGATGCATGGCTCGGCCTGTCCTCCTCAGTGTTCCAGTGTCTTGTGTTCCAGTGTCTTGTGTTCCAGTGTCTTGTGTTTCAGTGTCTTGTGTTCCAGTGTCTTGTGTTCCAGTGTCTTGTGTTCCAGTGTCTTGTGTTTCAGTGTCTTGTGTTCCAGTGTCCAGTGTCTTGTGTTTCAGTGTCTTGTGTTCCAGTGTCTTGTGTTTCAGTGTCTTGTGTTCCAGTGTCTTGTGTTCCAGTGTCTTGTGTTCCAGTGTCTTGTGTTTCAGTGTCTTGTGTTCCAGTGTCTTGTGTTCCAGTGTCTTGTGTTTCAATGTCTTGTGTTCCAGTGTCTTGTGTTCCAGTGTCTTGTGTTTCAGTGTCTTGTGTTCCAGTGTCTTGTGTTTCAGTGTCTTGTGTTTCAGTGTCTTGTGTTCCAGTGTCTTGTGTTCCAGTGTCTTGTGTTTCAGTGTCTTGTGTTCCAGTGTCTTGTGTTCCAGTGTCTTGTGTTTCAGTGTCTTGTGTTCCAGTGTCTTGTGTTCCAGTGTCTTGTGTTTCAGTGTCTTGTGCTCCAGTGTCTTGTGTTCCAGTGTCTTGTGTTCCAGTGTCTTGTGTTTCAGTGTCTTGTGTTTCAGTGTCTTGTGTTCCAGTGTCTTGTGTTTCAGTGTCTTATTTCTGTAATAATAAATACCCGGGACACATTTGCAGCCTCAGATCGTGTAGGGAAGTGATGTCACCCTCTCCATCTTGCTTATTGGTAATTTTCAGCAGTATTTCTTAGAAACTAGAAAATTGATTGCATGACTATTTTCGGGATTGTGTCATCTTAATGAGACCCAAAATATGCTATGGTAAAGCTCACACTCTCACATGCTCACACACGCAGGCACACACCATATTCCACTCTCACTCACTCACTCACTCACTCACTCACTCACATACGTACAGAATCTTACACACACACACACACACACATGCATATGCACACACTCACTAATACACCATCTGCCACTTTCACACTCAATCACACCAACAATCACTCACTTCAACACTCACTCACTCACTCACTCACTCACAGACACACACACATACAGAATCTTACACACACACACACACACACACACACACACACACACACACACACACACACACACACACACACATGCATATGCACACACTCACTAATACACCATCTGCCACTTTCACACTCAATCACACCAACAATCACTCACTTCAACATTCACTGACTCACACACGCACTCACTCACTCAAATGCTCACTCACACACTCACTCACTCACTCAAATTCTCGCTCGCTCACTCACTCACTCACTCACTCACTCACTCTATTTTCCAGGAAGGAACAGAGGTGGAGGCAGTTCACATCTCAGGGGCGTTCTTGGTGTTCGTAGGTGGGGTGATCTACACGTTCCTCCAGGCGGGCATCTCGTACCACATGTACCCCGACTACAACGGCCTGCGCATCTGCCGCATCCGCCTCACAATCTGCCTCACGTCCCTCACTTGCCTCATCATCAGTATCCTGCTACATCAGAGAGTGAATGTGAGTGAGTGAGTGTAAGTGTGTGTGAGTAAGTGAGTGAGGGAATGAGTTAGTGAATGTGGTTGTTGTTTTCAGCTGGACTCGCTAAGCTGTAGTCTGTAAATAATGGAGTGAGTATGGTTTAACACCACTTTTAGAGCAATATTCCAGCAATATCATGGCGGGGAACACCAGAAATGGGCTTCACACATTGTACTCATATTGGGAATCGAACCCGGGTCTTCGGCGTGACAGGCGAACGCTTTAACCACTAGGCTACCTGACCGCTCTGTAAACAATGGAATCAAGGTATGATTAACCAAAGGATTTGACATGTACAGTGTATTTTCTACCTCGTGAAGATGTGGGTTAGAATTGGCCCTCAGCAACCAGTTTGTCAATAAGAGGTGAATAACGGGCTCAGGTTGTCAGGCTTGCTGAATTGGTTGATGCAGGGCATCGTATCCCAATTGCGTGGATCGATGCTCATGATGTTAATGAGGATTGTCTGGTCCAAACTTGATTGCTCACAGACTGCCATCAAATAGCTGGAATATTGCTGAGTGGGGTGTTAAACAACAAACAACAAACAACAAACAAACAAAGAAGCAGGTTATTTCTTCCTGACCCGTGTCCAGCCCTTGCTGCAGCAGGTGTGGCTTTGTACAAGTGGAATGCTGTGCCCCACACCAAGACCAAGTTAAAGTGGGACGAAGGGGACCCGGTGAGTACATTAAAGGGGCCCTCCTCCCTTTGCAAGCCATCTTTCCCATGGTAGAGGAGTTAACTGACTACAGTCAAGTCTCGTTAATCCGACACTCGTTAATCCGACAATCGGCTTTATCCGACACTAATGATGGGAACCGATTAAATCAGTGCTATTTAGAACCGTTAATCCGACAGTCTCGCACTCCGACTCCGACACACCTAATTTGCAACAAATTAATGAAATCACTCATTAATCAGTCATCAATCTGACACAGTGAGTCGCGTATTCCGTTATCATCTGCCTGCGAGTACACAGCCCGTGTTTTGATGTGAGACAAATCAGCTGGTAGCTGCATATTACAACGGCTGCAGAGATAAACTTGCTTAACAATAAACAATTAATGCTTTCATTAAAGAAAATAGGATTAATCACATGCTTAGATTACCTCAATCTTATTAAAATCAGATACAAGTTCTCGCTATTGGCGAGGACATCCCACTAGAGGTCACGTCGGAACAACCTTTCACGAATAATGACCTACCAATGAAATGACTAACAGGAAGTCAACGTTAGCCACTTAGAAAGCAGCTTTCTTAAGCTTTGTGGTACCAGTTTCAAAGTTGCGACTTCCATTGCAGACTATGCTTTTTAAAGTCATACAGTCCGTTACAGTTGTTTTGTGTTAAACTTTAGAGGCTGCATGATTAGAACACATATTCCGATAACAATGTAACATAACTATATGAATATTTATTTTATATTTTTTTATCACGTGTTTGAATCGTTAGCTATCGTGTTGTCCGATTTTCAATCACGAACGTTGATACTACTTAATTTCATTTATCCAACATACATGTACTTGTTAATCTGATATAATTGTATGCAACCATTGACGTCGGATCAACGGGACTTGACTGTATAAAAGTCCAGTTTTCACCCTTGCCTAACTAGGCTGGAATTAAAGAGTTATATTTTCCTGGACTAACAAGTCTATGTATAATCCAATCAAAATCGTGTAACGAAATCAACATCTGGTTCATAAACTGCCGTGCAGATTTTGGGCGATTGCAGGATTTGCAAAGCATGTGTACCGAGTCAACAGATATTTTCCAAATCTTTCATGTTTGTAATCAATGGGTTCATGTCATTTGTAAGTAAGACCCATTTTATTACTATATAGATCTTGTTTAGCGATCATATTGTCCTGACTGGGCGCCACTATTTTGTTAGAAACGAATGCCAGGAATATAAGAGGTGGTATCTGATTGGTCAATAGGAGGGACAAAGAAGGGACATAACTCGTAATCGCCAGTGGTGTCACTATGATCGAGCCCACAAATTCCAGCCTAGTCAGTTAACTCCCTTGCCTCGGGAAGATGTTGGCAAGCTGGTAAAACGTTGATGTGTCATTATTGTTTTTGATTCCCAATATTAATGAGTAACTCTAAAAATTAAGATATCTTTGTAGATCCCTCTAATAATCTTTATGCAAGATAATTGACATCTTAATTGTTTCTAATTTTAGACTTTAGCTTTGTAAAAGTGTTACATGACATTCATTTCCATGCCCTGAAGATAATGAATACCAAACAAAAGGGCAGCCTCAACATGAGTGTTGCTATAAATAGATTTCTTCTTAATATAGTTTGAAGAGAATCCATCTCTGTATGACATAAGTGTGATGCATCTCAAACACAGCTAGAGTCCGGTCCATGTGAGAAAGACTGACCTGCAAGCAATGACACGTAATTGTTTTTTCAGTAGGTAAATAATATTGAGTTGTGTAGCTGTAGGCAACTGTTGTCTGTGCATGCAAGACCATTACTCCCAATTTGACTGTGTATCATTCCAGTTTTTATGTTTGTCCACAGGGATTCACAGCTCATATTGTCAGCACGATCGGGGAGTGGCTCACAGCTTTCACTTTCTTATCGTTTTTCTTCACGTATGTACGAGATTTCTCATTCCAGTTTTTATGTTTGTCCACAGGGATTCACAGCTCATATTGTCAGCACGATCGGAGAGTGGCTCACAGCTTTCACTTTCTTATCGTTTTTCTTCACGTATGTACGAGATTTCTCATTCCAGTTTTTATGTTTGTCCACAGGGATTCACAGCTCATAGTGTCAGCACAATCGGAGAGTGGCTCACAGCTCTCACTTTCTTATCGTTTTTCTTCACGTTTGTACGAGATTTCTCATTCAAGTTTTTATGTTTGTCCACAGGGATTCACAGCTCATATTGTCAGCACAATCGGAGAGTGGCTCACAGCTTTCACTTTCTTATCGTTTTTCTTCACGTATGTACGAGATTTCCAAAAGTTTCGTCTCACCATCACCACACATCCTCTCGTGCGACATCTTGATGAAGAGCCATATTTAGACCAAACGCCAAATGAACGTACACATCTGCTCGCCTAGATAGGAAGCGGCACCGTGAAAAAAGGACAACACATCCAGAGGGGATATTTTTTGAGAGAGTCATTCTTTTCATGGTGATCTTGAATGTCCGTCAACATAAATGATACTGTCACTCTTATCAGTTTCTTGTAAATGGTAACACTGAACATTGTTAACTCCATTTTATTTATTTTCATGGCCCAGCAGATGCTTTGTTTTCGCTGTTATCTCATATGATGAGAACTAGGTCTGGGTCGAGTCTAAATTTACTACCCATGTACCATTTCCCCGAGGCAAGACCGTCCACTAGCCTTTTTGTCAAAGTCTTGTTTCCTCCCTTGCCATTTCAAGCGCACAATACGATTGGACTATCGCACATGTTGATAATCCAATCAGAGAACTTTTCATATAATCATCATCCACGACTAGTACACCTTCCCATGAAAGTGATTTACCATTGTCTGTCTTTGTTGACAAGAATATGCCTTTTTCTTCTTTTAAACCCTCCAACAATTGCCTAAGGTTTTGCGTCAGGGATGAAATCGTGAAAGTTTTCGTTATCTGATCGACTGGGTCGTCGCCTAACCGCGATCTGATTGGATATCGCTTTTTCATTACAAGGGGCACATCTCTTGATTTACGCAAGGTGGCGCCAGGGTTGAGCCAAGAAAAGTGGCCTTGTGGCAAGGGTAGAAACTAGACCTTGACATTGGTTACTGGACACGCTTGCCTCGGGAAGATGCCGGAGTACCTTACTCCTTAATACCCAGAACTACCTAGGTATCCGCTGGAGGTCTCAAGAATTGGATATAAAATGTCAGATTTGTTTTACTGGAGCCCTGGCAAAAACCATTTACATACACGTATTAAACGATCTGGTCATTCATGCAATGAAGTTGATGAAAGCTTTAATATCTTTATCATATAAAAGTCAGAAGGACATGTAGGGATTATGGGTTAGAAGTGGTCCCCGGCAACCAATGTTAGTTGTAAGAGATGACCAAATTACTTGGATGGTCAGATTCGGTAACTTGGTTGATGGGATATCATTGTACTCCGACGGTATGGATCATTGTTCACTATATCAATCACTGGATTGTCTGGTTCAGACTCGATTATTTACAGCTCAAATATCGCCGAGTGCGTCTTTAAACAACAAACAAACAACATGTCTGGAACAAGCGTTAACTTGGTGTATTTGCGATAATCCCCAGGAGTTAACGATGTGTCATTGTATGTTGTGTTATCATGATAATTTGTCAATTCCTCTTTACTAACAAAGTATTGTAAAAAATAACATATTTTTGTAGTCATCTGTCATTTTGAAACACTGAATTTTTGTTTTTGTGGCCTCATTTCTTTGCCCAGTTGTAGAGTTCAAGGTTCCATTGTCCGTAGGTCATGCATAAATTAGATTATCATTACATGTTAAGGAATATAGCCATCTGTTGACCAGTCACTGTCTTATAAAGACCCCTTTCAGCCTCATGACATAATGTTTGACAGGACATCACCCGATTGTCACGTCACCAATTGATCCTGTTTGTAATTAGAGTTACCATGCTCTGATGGCCATCTCAAAATGTAATTGTCATAAACACATACACATTAAGACAATATGTCTGTGTAACCATGGTAACTTGTGAGTTCATCATGATGAATTTGTTTGCACGTGTCTCCTAACTGTTTTCGTGATATTTTTTATTATCTGTTCGAAATGAACAGTTAAATCCCAAGACTTTGGTGAAGATCGATTCTATAGATCAGCATTAGAAACAAACCGTTTTAGCCCACTCGTCCTTATAATGATATAGTATTGCAAAACCCTTAAAAAGGGCAAATTTCTTCTAGTCATCATGATATTTCAACTATTGGGCAGTTTGGCAAGGACTACAAGACTAGTGCTAATTTCTAATGCTGTATATACTGAACGAAACAAGTTAGGGACCATGAATATATTTGGGGATATTTTTTGTTGTGAAGATTAAAATATGTTCATGATATGTACCTTTTTTTGTTCAGTATATTACTCATGACATTCAGAAAGAAGATGAAGAAAAACGTGAGATATCAACCCTAAAAAAGAACTCTTCTCGGTCTTATTGCGTGATGTTAGTGACTTCAGAAACAATAGAGGATGTTATCTTGTATTGTTCTGAACAATAGTAATGTGATGTAACAAATGATCATGGAGAATCTCTACAATACACATGACAACTATGAGAATGTTACAATTGTTTGTTACACTTATGTGTAATATGAAATAAATATACAAGTTTTGTTGGGGACACAGATAGTTCATTCTGTTTATATATGTCATAACCAGAGACCATACACCCATCAAGACTCGAGTTGTGACTAATGTTTGTATCCTGTCCATAACAAAACCATGTCCAGGAGGCTGAGGGCTGTTCTCTCTACCTCCCCTCGTTTTGCTGAGGTAACAAGACATGACTTCTCATTCTTACAAAGTGCTGCTGTTTTACCCCCCAATAATGTCATTGTTTGTTTGATTCTTGTTATGTCCGAGTCCGGGCCTTAGAACAGGTGTTCATTGATGACCTCAGATGAGGTGTTCATTGATGACCTCAGATGAGGTGTTCATTGTGACCTCAGATGAGGTGTTCATTGTGACCTCAGATGAGGTGTTCATTGTGACCTCAGATGAGGTGTTCATTAATGACCTCAGATGAGGTGTTCATTGATGACCTTAGATGAGGTGTTCATTGATGACCTCAGATGAGGTGTTCACAGAGCTCCAGATAAGCTTTTGGTGTTGTGGGTATTTTACCCGTGCATTTTAAAATCATTGGGTATCAGTAATTCTATCTGGGTATTCAAATTTCTGATACCCACTAGTTTTTACACATTTGGGTATTTAAGTTCAATATTTAAAAACGCTATTCATCTAGTCTCTGCAAACTGGTGTCGTGTGGGTTCGAGAGCTTTATAGGACTAAAAAATACCACGATACTTTCACAAGAAAGTGTGATGGCAAATGATAATGATGTAACTGTCATCGTGGAGTTTGGCAAGGTTGACTGAATGCCTGTTTATAATTTCAAAATAAGTCACATATGCAGGGTTACTTCACAATATTTTGATGATATTTCACGCAGATACACTGCTTATCTGGAGCTCTGTGTTCATTGATGACCTCAGATGAGGTGTTCATTGATGACCTTATACAAGGTGTTCATTGATGACCTTAGATGAGGTGTTCATTGATGACCTTATACAAGGTGTTCATTGATGACCTCAGATGAGGTGTTCATTGATGACCTTAGATGAGGTGTTCATTGATGACCTTAGATAAGGGGTTCATTGATGACCTCAGATGAGGTGTTCAATGATGACATCAGAACAAGTGTTCATTGATGACCTCAGAACAAGTGTTCATTGATGACCTCAGAACAGGTGTTCATTGATGACCTCAGAACAGGTGTTCAATGATGACCTCAGAACAGGTGTTCATTGATGACTATAAACAAGTTGTTAATTGATGACTGAAAAATGTGTTCATTATGATTTCAGGAATGGTAATCATTTGTGATCTTTAGACAGGTAATCATTGATTAGCTCAGGATAGATGTCATTGATGATTTGGTATAGATGTTCTTTGATGACCTCTGTATATTTTCATATTTTATTTCTTTTTTTAAAACGATGTATTATAAATGACTATGATGAAGTGCTGTCATGTATATATTAACTAAACCTGCAGGTCAGAACATCAGCTGCTTTCATTGCATTGAAATTGAATGTCCTGCAAGAGACTGATTTTAATGTTTTACAATGAACAGTTTAGTTTTAAGCATATTTTGTGTTTACTGTTTATGATGAAGAATAAGGTTACAGATGAAGAGAGTTAACTCATTCACAGCTTCATCTGGTACCTCGTTGTACCTCTTTACCCATGAAGATCCGGGTTAGAATTGTTCTTCAGCAACCCTTGCTTGTCCCCCGTGAAGATCCAGGTTAGAATAGGTCTTCAGCAACCCATGCTTGTCCCCCGCGGAGATCCAGGTTAGAATAGGTCTTCAGCAACCCTTGCTTGTCCCCCGTGAAGATCCGGGTTAGAATTGGTCTTCAGCAACCCATGCTTGTCCCCCGTGAAGATCCGGATGAGAATTGGTCCTCAGCAACCTATGCTTGTCCCCTGTGAAGATCTGGGTTAGAATAGGTCTTCAGCAACCCATGCTTGACTCCCCTGTGAAGATCTGGGTTAGAATAGGTCTTCAGCAACCTATGCTTGTCCCCCGCGAAGATCCAGGTTAGAATAGGTCTTCAGCAACCTATGCTTGTCCCCCGTGAAGATCCCGGTTAGATTTTGTTTTCAGCAACCCATGCTTGTCCCCCGTGAAGATCCAGGTTAGAATAGGTCTTCAGCAACCTATGCTTGTCCCCTGTGAAGATCTGGGTTAGAAAAGGTCTTTAGCAACCTATGCTTGTTCCCTGTGAAGATCTGTGTTAGAATAGGTCTTCAGCAACCCATGCTTGTCATCCGAGGTGACTAACGAGATTGGGTGGTCAAGCTCGCTGACTTGATTGATGCATGTCATCATATCCCAATTATATTCATGGTAATGATGTCAATCACTGGATTGTTTGGTCTAGACTTGATTATATACATACCGTGCTGTGTGCTGTAATACCATACCGAATTCGACGTAATAAGCACCCCCCTCTTATAAGCGCCAACGGCGATATTTACTAATATATTGGCTAGGGAACAATCCCAATTAGCACCCCTTCCAATTGATCAATGTACACAAGACTTTTTTATTCGTGTATAATACGCACTCAATTGTTATATGCACCCTATTTTTAATTTTGAGAGCGCCCTGGGCGCTTATTACGTCGAAAACGGTATTTCCTTTTCAGTTATGATCTGGCAGCATGACTGCACAATTAGTTGTAGTTAATTTAATAAAATTCTAAATGATAATAATAGGCATATCCAGCTCAGCATATAGATAAAATAAAAGATAAGTTTATTGTGTAATGGACTCTATGTTTGGACTCTATGTGTGTCTAATCAAGTTATTACATAGACTTTCATAATAAGTTGGTACACAGCATACATATAATGTGATTTATTACTTGCCCGTGAAGAGATCACCCGTTTAATAAACATACAGCTTTATTACACATTGTGTAATACCAAAACGCGTGCTTATGAACTCTCGGAACACGTTTCACGAACAAATATTGAAAGCTCTCAACATCCCTTGGCTTATTCAACGACATTGGGTGTGGAGTTGATAGATCGCTGAGAGGAGCTTATGCACACTCGATGACCCCAGCAACCTTGTTGCTAGGCTGACGTCACATGGCATTGTTTCGCCGATGGATCTTGCATCAAAATTCCACAAATTACGTCATCGGGTATTGTGACGTTATTGAAAACTTTGAGGTGCAAGGCCCGTTCCACAAGGCGATCGTATTGTAGCGCAACGACAGTCGTTGGTCTAAGTTAAAGTATGTGAGATGTGAAAGTCTTAGCCCTACGATAACTTTGTGAATTCTAAAGGTAGACCCGTTGTATGGTATGAAATTCATACGTTTCAACTTTTGACGTGTTTGAAGTATTATTCTGTTAAACTCATGTCGTGGATCATGTAGGTGTCAGCCTATTCGTTCTCAACAGTATAATTCAAAAAACGTTATAAATTGCAAGTAATAAATAAAATACTAAACGAGCTCCCGTGGAAAACCAATTTTATGAAACTCGTGAATAGTTGTGGTATCTGACGAGCGAAAGCGAGTCAGATACCACAACTATTCACTCGTTTCATAAAATTGGTATTACACGGGAGCTCGTTTAGTATTCTATATAACTGTAACATGTTGTAAATATTTGTATTATTGTGTGGTAAATACAATTGCTTTGACCATTATATCATTGATTGTGAATAATCAGAAATCTGATTCAAATCATCTGTATGTAATTTACATTCCATCTCATTCCTGTTCTGTGGTATAGCCAGAAACTACTGCTAATAGATATTTCAGGGTAGGATGGGTCCCCTTGACCCAATGCTTGGCTTCACTACGGGTTTCTTCTTTCCAAAGTGTCTCTTCCTTTTAGGTATGCCGGAGCAGAACCATCCCACCCCACCCCACCCCACCCCACCCCCGCCCCTGTACAAGATGCTTGTCTCCCCCTCTGTACCCAATCCTTATCTTCTTCCCTTCGGGGTACCATTTTCCAAAGTGTCTCTTTAACCCCAAGGTCAAGGACTTAACAATAGAGACAAGGTTTAGATTTGGAGAGATTTTAGAGTGGAAGGAATATTTTCAAAATGATTCAAAATAATATTGATGATTAAAATAGTATTGCTGATTTATACAGCACCAGATTCTATGCAGAAGGGTGCTGAAAACACATGATCCATGTCAAATAATGTGTGTGCTCATTTTATTCTCAACTCCCTGAGGAGTATGTAAGCTTTAATTTTGTCAAAGGTTGTGATAAATTTATTGACATTTTGTTATAGTTCTATAAAGAATCTCTAAAATTCATTGGTTGATCCTTATCATGTGATGAAACAATAAATTTCAATGCTGACCTAACAATAGAAACTGACCCGAAAAGGTTTGGTCAAATCACGTTTCTGACACTGACTTCGAATATTGATTCTTCACATGATCACTCTTGTTTTGTACTTTCGTAATATTGATCAATACTGACATGGTGTCCGTGAGTGGCAATGTACAGTTTGCCAATCTTTCTGAAGATTAATTTTTTTTCGATAAAATCCCTGCACCCCCACCCATTCCCCTAGAATATAAAATGGTCGGACCCTAAACAAATATTGTTTTCGTGTTTGAGTTGGACATATTGTCCTCTCCTCCCTTCCACTTGTAAGCAGACAGTGTATACATGTTTGAGTTGGATGTAGGGACAGGGCATCGCCTTGTGCCACCAGGTACGGTGGCCCATAAGGGACATGAAGTCTGTTTTTCAATACATGTATTTTGATATTTCACTTACTGTTATCATAACCTTTTGCAAATAAACACGATTTGTCAAACAAATATGTGATAAATCATGTATAAAGAAGATATTGAATCGCTGAAAATGTCAAAAAACTAAAATGAAAATGTCAAAAACAAAAACAAAAAGGTCAAAAAATAAAATGAAAATGTCAAAAACAAAAACAAAAGCGTAAAAAAATAAAATGTTTTAGTTCTTGACCTTTTCGTTTTTGTTTTGGACATTTCCATTTGAGTTTTTGACATTTTCGCTTCACATTTCAGAGATTCAATAGCTACTTGAAAGTACATTTTCCATGTTTTCGGTTGTTTTTATACATGATTTATCACATATTTGTGTGTCAAATTGGGTTAATTTGCAAAAGATTACGATAAAAATTAGTGAAATATCAAAATATTGAAAAACAGATTCCATGTCCCTTATGGGCCACCGTAACCAGGAGTGTTACCGTGGTTACATGAGTCAGTACAGGATGATGATGATGAGGGTGGGAACATAGTTTCCTGGTAAGCGAAACAATTTTGAGTCTACTATTTCGAACATGGCTCTGGACCTCACTTTCATCCAACTTAGTGTTAACATATGGACTATTATTAGCTGAGCTTACCAGACCAAACAGAATTTTACTAGACTCAGGCTTCGAATTAGGGCTAAATTCGCGTAGTGGTAAAACAATATGGGTGCATGGATACGAGTTGTGAAGAAAATATGATTTTATAGAGATTTATGATGATTCGAGAAAATATTTGTACAGTGTGATTCTTCAAGCAACTATATGTATGAAAGGGGATGATACAAAATCAAATATACTGAACAAATAAAGTTAGGGATCATGAATATTTCTGGGATACTTTTTGGTTGTGAAGACAGCATACAATCTCATAAAAATATTTATGATCCCTAACTTTTTTTGTTCAGTATATGTAAGGAGGACATATATACAAATGACTTTATTAAATACTATTCCTGACAGTGTGTACTAATTTGGTAATGCGTTGTCTAAGTGTCTCAAGGTCTATTACTGAAGCCCTTGCACCAGGCTCCATTTGCTTAATGTAGAAATACTTGCTCTCATGGAGACAGAAAAGTGGTCCAAGGCCACGTTCCACAAGGCGATCGTAGCACTGCGACTGTCGTAAGTCTATGTTAAAGTATGGGAGTTATGATCATCTTAGCGTTATGGTCGCTTTGTGGAACGGGACCCAAACTTGTAGAGAACATCTCTGGTCTGAATGCAATATAATGTTTTTTTATGATGGTGACCAAAGATGACTTGTGAGTGACTGAAGCTGGTAGACCAGGTTCTGTCTCCGATATACATCCTGTTGACTGACAAAAATAATAGTATATGTGGATATACAGTGTACATGCTTGTCAGAATAAACGTTTATACAGTTTACTTATGTTTTGATCATTTCGAAATGTGACAGTTCCTAGGTAATGTCTGATTTTCAAGTCCTAGGACTGGTTGCACACAATCTCATTAAAATCAGATCTTAGTTCTCGCTACCGCAAAACGGCATTCATTTCAAATTGGCGACTACGCTTCGAAACATATTTTGACAAATTCTCGAATAAAAATTTGAAACCTGAACAAAAGAACATTCTGGAATGGCTAATAGATGGTCTAGATTATATGGATTCAGTCGTTAAACCCGTACCTATCGTTCAGAATACCCCGTGTTGAGGTTCTCGTGGTTGCATGATTAGAAATCACATTCCGACTGTCACTTTCATGATCTGGTAAGCGACGCTCTGATTGGGCGGATGAAAGGTCGTTCTGACGTGACCCCTAATGGGATGTCCTCAGATCTTTGTTTAGCGGTAGCGAGAACTAAGGTCTGATTTTAATGAGATTGGGTTGCACAAAGAGACTTTAAAGCTTTGACCATTGTAACTCCCACACTTTAACATACGTTTACAATTGTTTTTGTGCTAAGATTGCTTTGTGCAAGCGGCCCTGGTTATCAACACTTCAACCAGGAGAGGAATCAAGCTTTTACTTGGATTTGTGAGAGTAAAATGCATCAACATATACTGTGTAAAAATAGTAGGGGATATTATGTTTTTGACTACAGAAAAATACACCAATGTCTGGCAATGAAAGTAAGTGATGCATGTGGCAAGAACATTTCTGAAGAAATAAAGCTCCTAAACACAACATTGTGACGGCCATGAAGCATGTGACCATGTGACCTCGGACAGCACGTGCAAGGGGTGGTGTGCCAGATTTACCATTGTCACTCTGACCCGGTGGTGAACAGACATATTGTTTTAATGGAACCAAACACTCTAGACACATTATAAAACATATTTAATCATTAAAGAAGCAACATCATTGATCATGAAACGTTTGCAACGTGCTGAACGTTTACGTGCCATGTTGCAAATGGGCACATGTCGGAATAGTGTTGCCCAAGCGCTGCATGTTTCTCATTCTGTCGTCAGCAGATCGTGGCCCGATACCAACAAACATATAACGTCAACGATCGACACCCAAGGGCGACAACTCCAGCCCAGGACAGTTTAGTCCGAACGATGCCATTAAGAATCGGTTGCAAACTGACATTCGGATAAGGGACCGGTTGCAACAGGTAACCGTTGTAAGATCAGAGTACATGCCCAGACGGTGCGAAATCGTCTGCACAGATGGCGTTTGCGTGCACAACGTCCACGTGTCATCCCAGAACTTACTGCACCTCATTGGAATCAGATGCGTCAGTGGTGTAGGGATCGAAGGTCAGTACTGGGATAATCCACGTTGGTCTATAATGGTGTGGGGTGGTATCACAATGACTTTCCGAACTGCGCTTCATATTGTCCATGGCAGAGTCACAGGTCAATGCTATCGGGACAACATCATTGCACAATTTGCTTCTAGCCCGTGTGGAATTGGGAGTTAGCATGACTCATTGCATATTTATTTGAGAGTCATGATTGCCATTTAAAGAAGTGCACAGCTAAAATAATATAAAACAATATGACGTAATGGCAATGCTGGTGATTGAAACAGGTTATGGTGAACATATAAATACTTCTGCCACAGTCCTTTGATCGTTTGGTGGAACCAAATCGCGTCAAATACGCCACACGGCCAAAGGGTCAAACTCAATATATAAATGTATGAGGAATGGTACACGACGCTTTTCAGCAAACCTTCAGCTTGGGGATTTTGTCTCTGATACGTGTTCTGTAATTAAACATCACTGGCGTCTGTTAGTATTGTGTATCCGTAACCTGTAGTGTTTTCTGAAGTGTAATTTTATTTCTAACAAACTCTACTCAATTAAATATATTTGCGCGTTCGGTTGGAAATTGAAATGATCACGGTTTCGTCTACAGATAACCTTCCTCTAATTTGAAAACACATTATGTGTATCTCTCAACGACATTTGATTGATAGGTTGTGAGTGAGTGAGTACGGTTTTACGCCGCTTTTAGCAATATTCCAGCAATATCACAGCGGGGAACACCAGAAATGGGCTTCACACATTGTACCCATATCGGGAATCGAACCCGGGTCTTCGACGTGACGAGCCAACGTTTTAACCACGAGGCTACCCGGCGCTCCGATAGGTTGTGAGCCTCACTTAGAAAGACTTGACCTAAAGACATTAAAATGACTTACTTTTCAACATAATCCCTTCTACGTTGTTACACTTATGCTAACGACGTTTGGGGGATTTAATACCATTTTCGTAGAAGTCCTCATGGCTGTCGAAAAAGTTCTCAACAGCTGCTATGACGTCATCGTCCGACTCGAAATAGGTTTCGGCTGGAGTTTTCTACATGTTTTGGAACAGATGGTAGTCTGACGGAGCCAGATCATGGCAAAAAGGTGGGTCCCACTCTCGCAGTTTGTAGCAGTGGCAATGGCTGATTTGTGCACTTGCGTATTGTCCTGGTTTAAGAGCACACCTTAAATCAGCTTCCCACGTTTCTTAGTCTACATTTCATCCCGTTATCGCCCAAAAGTGCAGCATAATATGTTCCGTTTATTGCCTTCACCTCATGATGACACGTTTGGCATCCCTGAACAAGGGTGCCATAACCTTTCCAGCTGATGAGAGAGCCTATTGAACGAGCTTTATGACGCTCAGTCATTCGCCGGTCGGCCATTACCATTCCGTGTTGTACTGTTCATGGATGTTCACGGATGGCTTTTGGTCATTGAACGTTTCTCAAGTTGGGCCATTTTCCAAAGGTCACAGGCCCCTGCTTATTTCGGGACGAAACGGTTTGCTCAATAGCCACAAGTGTTTGTGGTTATAACTCAAATCCAAACGTTTCACACCGCACATTCACTAGAGCTCGCTCTCTCTCTCTCTCTCTCTCTCTCTCTCTCTCTCTCTCTCTCTCTCTCTCTCTCTCTCTGTGCAGAGTTGCGTCCCTTGGGCACGCCAGAAACCTATGATTGTGGGTTCGAATCCCGGTTCGCCCAGAATTATGTTTCTAGGTTTGTCAGCACCATACCCGTGCTCGTGGGCTTCGTAAACGTCTAAGACCTGCATCACTTCGGGCTTTCCTCCCACATTAAGCTGACACGCCGTGATATGACTGGAATACTGTTAAAAGCGGCGTTAAACCCAACTCACTCACTCTCTCTCACTCTCACTCTCACTCTCTCTCTCTCTCTCTCTCTCTCTCTCTCTCTCTCTCTCTCTCCCTCTCTCTGAAAAATACAAGTTTACTTGCCCTATATGATATTGTTTAAAACATTCACTCACTCACTAGCCCATTAAGTAATTAAGCTTTGCCATTCCTTTGATTTGAGTAGGTTTACATTTTTACTGCTGCAATTATATCGGATGGCTCAGATATATGTTATTACACCGCAAAAATCTGGGTTAGAATTGGTCTTCAGCAACCCATGCATGTCGTAAGAGGCGACTAACGGGATTGGGTGGTCAGGTTCGTAGATCGATGCTCATGATGTCAATCACTGGACTGTCTGGTCCAGACTCGATTTTTTACAGGCCGCCGCCCCATTGCTGGAATATTGTTGAGTGCGGCGTTAAACAACAAACAGGAGATATATATTAATTATACGTTATGGTTCCTGATATTGCACATTTTCAACAATTATAATTCAACCTTTCACTTAAATGTACATGCATATTTAAATATTATGACTAAGAAATTAAAATGAATGTTATCTTGCTAACAAGGTATGCGAGTTGAAATAGTACTCAATAGTATATTTTACGACTGTTTTTTATGTAAAAAATATTAAATTTCAGCGTTTACTTGTTTGTGTAAACGAAACACTCAATAAGTATAAATTTTCAATTTTGAAAATATATTGACAGTGTTCGTATTTGAACTTGAATAAGACTTGCGTTCTTCCTACGGTGAGTAATTTAGAGTTACCCCCCTTGAAAAACAAGTGCCCATGAGTTCAGAAGAGCCTGGACGAGTGTTCGCGCGAGAAATGTTGTTTTGAAGTATGTGGTTTGTTTAAAATGTTGGCAAATGTGATATCATTTTAAACTTTCAACTATTATATACACCAATTTCACCAACAAGTAAGAAGCACGATATTAGCTCAATGTGTTTGATAAGCCCTAAACATGCAAAATGTTATGACGATCGACACTAAATTCAGTTGCCGGTGTCGAGTTAATTTGAACCCCATGGACTTGTTATAGGAATAATAGAAAAATAAACACACATCACTAACATTTTGTGGCTGGTGGATTTGTAAAAGGAAATATTTGAACACCTTAAATTACAATATTTTCAAAAACACATGAATGTTTAAGATAGCCTTCCATACACAGATTATTTTTTTACATTTGACGTGTTTACGTGTGTGAGTATATGTGTGTAGAAGGGGTTTATGACAGAAGCAAGTTTTCAATATGTCAAATGTGGTAATAAAAGAGGTACTTGCAACAAAGCTTTAAGCTAGCGCCTGCTAATAAATTACTTTCATCATGTGAAGTCAGATCCCATTACATGTGCCTTGCTTCCATTTCACCAGCTGACTGTAGTGACGAGATGGAGGCACCCCTCGAAGGGAGACTACTCCTTGTTGGAGAGGGAGATTTCTCCCTAGCTGTGGCGCTGGTGTCAAAATGTGGTTTCCATGGAGATCAGGTGTTGGCAACAAGTCTGGAAACGGAAGAGTCCATCGAGAAACATCACCTGGCTTCAAGGAACATACAGATTCTTCGGGATAGAGGTAATTCCTTCATCGACCTCTCCTGGTAGTGTGTGGGGCTGGACGAGTCCAAATTTCCTGCCCGGGTACCTGAACCCCTATTACAAGAGCTGGGACGGGTAACTCGGGTACTCGGGTCGGGTGGGCACTGAGTAGGACCCGGGTACCCACAGGACTACCCGGATCCGTGGTTAATCATGTGATATATTGTTTAATGACAAAAATATCTAGAACTCTATGGTTACACTACAAGTGATTAATGTTTGCATTTCTTTCTGACTATGCATGCATTCCTTCTGACTTAATATATGTTTGCATAAAGACAAAACTTCAGCCAACTTCAGTTTATGCATGACCAGATCGGTTTATATGTGTATCTAAATACAGTTTTCCAGGGCTACGGTCTAACTATTCCCAATCAGATATTTGGACCCATCTCTTGAGACCTACAGTGGGTACCCGGGTAGGGTCGGATAATAGGGGGGTGGGTACCCAGGTAGTAAATTTGGACTCGTCCAAGCCCTATCTATTACCTGACCTTTGTTGGGTACCCGCTGTAGGTCTCAAGTTGGGTACAAAATGTTCATTTGGGGATTGTTTTACCAGAGCCCTGGCAGAAAGTATTTAGGAATATCGATAGTATAAAACAATGCGATCGTGCATACACTGAAGTTGACTGAAGTTTTGTCTTTACTCAAACATATAAATTCAGAAGGAATGTATGCATAGTCAGAAAGAAATGCCAACATTAGCAACTTGTACTTTTTATTATTATTGTCATTAAACAATTTATCACATGACTAACGGGTTCGGGTAGTCCTGTGGGTACCCGGGTCCTACTCAGTACCCAACCCGACCCGAGTACCCGAGTTACCCGTCCCATCCCTAGTATTGTGCATGATACTCATCTCATGATAGAACAGAGGGATGGGAGAAGAGGACCACTTGTTGTTTTCATACATCAGTGACCCAGAAAGCACAAAGATTAGGAATATTACCGACAACATAATACAAACAGCAGCATATACCAAGTTCTGTGCGATGACAAAGGGTTTATTATTGATATATACATCTAATAAATATTCTGACTCAAGACAACAATTGCTTAACATAAGGGTCGAGTGAGTGAGTATGGTTTTACGCCGCTTTAGCAATATTCCAGCAATATCAGGGCGGGGGACACCAGAAATGGGCTTCACACATTGTACCCATGTCGGGAATCGAACCCAGGTCTTCGGCATGACGAGCCAACGCTTTAACCACTTGGCTACCCGACCGCCCCTAACATAAGGGGAGGGAGGGGGGACAAAGTGTCAAAATACAGCTGGGTACATTGCAATTTGCCGCTGTACAATTTAGCTAGCAGTACTCATCCCTAAAATACACATGGTACATTTAGGCGGGGATTTATCTAGTACTACTCAGAGGCCGATATTCGGACCCAAATCTGCAGCAGATGTCAGTAAAAAAATTCCGATTTGGGACAAGCAAATTCCCAATTGATGTTACTATGTATTAATATATGTGATTAATAACTAATTGTATGCCTTTGTAGAAGTAACCTGTATTCAGTTATAGCAAGACTTATAAATAGGAACATGTTTTAATGCTTTGTTTTATGTAAGTGTATTAAATGCAATCTCAAAATACCTCTCAATTTCAGAAAATACGAACTTTTAAAAAATCCCAATTTTGAACAAAACTATGATTTTTCCCAATTTGCCTGCCAGGGGCACTGTATTATAAACTCTAGATAAATGCCTGCTAGGACAGGATCAACTGGTAAAGATGTGATTATTAACTGGTATGTGTGTTTGTTTTGGACAAGTATGAACGGTAAAGATGTGATTATTAACTGGTATGTGTGTTTGTTATGGACAAGATCGACTGGTAAAGATGTGATTATTAACTGGTATGTGTGTGTGTTATGGACAGGATCGACTGGTAAAGATGTGATTATTAACTGGTATGTGTGTTTGTTATGGACAGGATCGACTGGTAAAGATGTGATTATTAACTGGTATGTGTGTTTGTTTTGGACAAGTATGAACGGTAAAGATGTGATTATTAACTGGTATGTGTGTTTGTTATGGACAAGATCGACTGGTAAAGATGTGATTATTAACTGGTATGTGTGTGTGTTATGGACAGGATCGACTGGTAAAGATGTGATTATTAACTGGTATGTGTGTTTGTTATGGACAGGATCGACTGGTAAAGATGTGATTATTAACTGGTATGTGTGTTTGTTTTGGACAAGTATGAACGGTAAAGATGTGATTATTAACTGGTATGTGTGTTTGTTATGGACAAGATCGACTGGTAAAGATGTGATTATTAACTGGTATGTGTGTGTGTTATGGACAGGATCGACTGGTAAAGATGTGATTATTAACTGGTATGTGTGTTTGTTATGGACAGGATCGACTGGTAAAGATGTGATTATTAACTGGTATGTGTGTTTGTTTTGGACAAGTATGAACGGTAAAGATGTGATTATTAACTGGTATGTGTGTTTGTTATGGACAAGATCGACTGGTAAAGATGTGATTATTAACTGGTATGTGTGTGTGTTATGGACAGGATCGACTGGTAAAGATGTGATTATTAACTGGTATGTGTGTTTGTTATGGACAGGATCGACTGGTAAAGATGTGATTATTAACTGGTATGTGTGTGTGTTATGGACAGGATCGACTGGTAAAGATGTGATTATTAACTGGTATGTGTGTTTGTTATGGACAGGATCAACTGGTAAAGATGTGATTATTAACTGGTATGTGTGTGTGTTATGGACAGGATCAACTGGTAAAGATGTGATTATTAACTGGTATGTGTGTTTGTTATGGACAGGATCGACTGGTAAAGATGTGATTATTAACTGGTATGTGTGTTTGTTTTGGACAAGTATGAACGGTAAAGATGTGATTATTTCCTGGTATGTGTGTTTGTTATGGACAGGATCGACTGGTAAAGATGTGATTATTAACTGGTATGTGTGTTTGTTTTGGACAAGTATGAACGGTAAAGATGTGATTATTAACTGGTATGTGTGTTTGTTATGGACAAGATCGACTGGTAAAGATGTGATTATTAACTGGTATGTGTGTGTGTTATGGACAGGATCGACTGGTAAAGATGTGATTATTAACTGGTATGTGTGTTTGTTATGGACAGGATCGACTGGTAAAGATGTGATTATTAACTGGTATGTGTGTGTGTTATGGACAGGATCGACTGGTAAAGATGTGATTATTAACTGGTATGTGTGTTTGTTATGGACAGGATCAACTGGTAAAGATGTGATTATTAACTGGTATGTGTGTGTGTTATGGACAGGATCAACTGGTAAAGATGTGATTATTAACTGGTATGTGTGTTTGTTATGGACAAGATCGACTGGTAAAGATGTGATTATTAACTGGTATGTGTGTTTGTTTTGGACAAGTATGAACGGTAAAGATGTGATTATTAACTGGTATGTGTGTTTGTTATGGACAGGATCGAATGGTAAAGATGTGATTATTAACTGGTATGTGTGTGTGTTATGGACAGGATCAACTGGTAAAGATGTGATTATTAACTGGTATGTGTGTTTGTTATGGACAGGATCGACTGGTAAAGATGTGATTATTAACTGGTATGTGTGTTTGTTATGGACAGGATCAACTGGTAAAGATGTGATTATTAACTGGTATGTGTGTTTGTTATGGACAGGATCGAATGGTAAAGATGTGATTATTAACTGGTATGTGTGTGTGTTATGGACAGGATCGACTGGTAAAGATGTGATTATTAACTGGTATGTGTGTTTGTTATGGACAGGATCAACTGGTAAAGATGTGATTATTAACTGGTATGTGTGTGTGTTATGGACAGGATCGAATGGTAAAGATGTGATTATTAACTGGTATATGTGTGTGTTATGGACAGGATCGACTGGTAAAGATGTGATTATTAACTGGTATGTGTGTTTGTTATGGACAGGATCGACTGGTAAAGATGTGATTATTTCCTGGTATGTGTGTGTGTTATGGACAGGATCAACTGGTAAAGATGTGATTATTAACTGGTATGTGTGTGTGTTATGGACAGGATCCACTGGTAAAGATGTGATTATTAACTGGTATGTGTGTTTGTTATGGACAGGATCGAATGGTAAAGATGTGATTATTAACTGGTATGTGTGTGTGTTATGGACAGGATCAACTGGTAAAGATGTGATTATTAACTGGTATGTGTGTTTGTTTTGGACAAGTATGAACGGTAAAGATGTGATTATTAACTGGTATGTGTGTTTGTTATGGACAGGATCAACTGGTAAAGATGTGATTATTAACTGGTATGTGTGTGTGTTATGGACAGGATCGACTGGTAAAGATGTGATTATTTCCTGGTATGTGTGTGTGTTATGGACAGGATCGACTGGTAAAGATGTGATTATTTCCTGGTATGTGTGTGTGTTATGGACAGGATCGACTGGTAAAGATGTGATTATTAACTGGTATGTGTGTTTGTTATGGACAGGATCGACTGGTAAAGATGTGATTATTAACTGGTATGTGTGTGTGTTATGGACAGGATCGACTGGTAAAGATGTGATTATTAACTGGTATGTGTGTGTGTTATGGACAGGATCAACTGGTAAAGATGTGATTATTAACTGGTATGTGTGTTTGTTATGGACAGGATCGAATGGTAAACATATGATTATTTCCAGGTGTGCGTGTTTGTTTTGACGTGGATGCCACTGAGTTGCAGACATGTGCAGCGCTGCAGGTGATGGAGGATGCCCGCTTCACACGCATCATCTTCAACTTCCCTCACGCGGGGGGCAAGTCCAACCACAAGAAGAATAGAACCCTCCTCAATAACTTCTTCTCCAGGTGTTGTGTGCAGTGTCCTATCTAGACTCGCTTCAGTGCGGGGATTTTTAAAGAAAAATATTTATTCCCTAAAAATATAAACAAATTATGATTTGCCTCATGTTTAAACAATGAAAATACTTAGTTAGCTGGACATGTTGGCTGATCTAAAGAATAATGTGTTTAGGGTCCCAAAAAATTGTTTTCCCCCTCCTTTCGGAGAAATGTTTTATGTGTTTTGAAGTGTTGATTGAAAAAATATTTTGTCTCATTTCATATAACCCTTCCTTCCCCCGCCTCCTTCCATCCTAGTGGACTGGCAGCTCTAAAAAAATAGTCCCCCGCAATTTTTGTCAATCCCAACTTGCAACAAATAAACCAACATATGAAAATTACCTGCTTTTTATTCTTTAAACATCAAGTCCAGCGCAATGGAGTAACTTAGTTAGATTTACACGCCATTCACACAAAGTTCAGTCACAATTTTCTCTTTCTTTTTTGAATATTTCGAGACTTACGACGCTACAGAAATATATTTAACCTTGGTTCAAAGCAAAATGTTATTTCCTGGCACTAAAAATAGACAAGGGGAAACCCTGATGGTAACTGACAAGCTGACTTCATTCGGAAGATATACTTATATGAATATTGCTGAGGTTTTGTTCAACAACAAAGATTTATAAGGTACTTAATTTGCCAACCCACAGGGACTGGCAGTCACATGAATTACTGGTCCAAGACTAATTTTACCGGTCAAAAACTGGTACCGTATTCGACGTAATAAGCGCCCCGCTCTAATAAGCGCCCACCCAATATATTGGCTAGTAAACAATCCCAATTAGCACTCCTTCCGATCGATCAATGTACCCAAGACTTATTTATTCGCATATAATACGCACTCGTGTGTTATGTGCACCCTTAATTATGGGCAATCAAATTCTAGAAAAATATATCTGTCGCATATAAACATTTCAGTGTGTCAGCATAAACCATGAAATTTATCTTTCAACTCTTTTTTTTCCACCAAAATAATATTCTAATAAGAGCTCCCTATTTCTAATTTTGAGAGCACCCTGGGCGCTTATTACGTCAAATACGGTAATTACCGGTAAACGGGAACACTGATTAAACACTTGGTTCCCTACTTGTGCTGTTTCAGATATATTGGAAACAGGAGAGGTATCTCAGAATAATGCTGTTACGAGATGTTTTAGAATCCTTTATTCCAGGACCATAATATTTGTTTCTACATTTATAGCTACTTTGTAAACAATGCAAAAACATTTTTGTTCCAAGTGCTGTGAAAGTGTTGACTCCGGGCGGTCAAGTCATGGTGACCTTGTGTAGAGGTCAAGGTGGGACCCCTGCTGATCAACCAATGAGGGCGTGGCATGACAGCTGGCAGGTGGTTTCCATGGCAGCCAATGCAAGCCTCATTCTCACTCAAGTTGTACCATTCTCTGCGGAGGAATTCCAGGAATACAACTCTGTCGGCTTCAGGTATTGTCCATAAAGCATCTTACCTTTAGATTATACAGGGGCACGGGGGGCTAGTCTGTCATACAGACCCTGAAACAAATATTTCCACTACAGCCCATGCAAGTCTATAATGTTTGGCAAGTCTAGATTACAGCAGTATCAGGGTCAGTACCAATCTCATTAAAATCAGATCTTAGTTCTCGCTACGGCTAAACAAAGATCTGAGGACATCCCATTAGGGGTCACGTCAGAACGACCTTTCATCCGACCAATCAGAGCGTCGCTTACCAGATCATGAAAGTGACAGTCGGAATATGATTTCTAATCATGCAGCCTCGAAAACGTTAAAACGGGGTATTCCAAACGATAGTTACGGGCTTAACGACTAAAATCTATACAATCTAGACCATACGTTTCCCATTCTAGAACTTTCTTTTGTTCAGGTTTCAAATTTTTAAGTGAGAATTTGTCAAAATATGTTTCGAAGCATAGTCGCCAATTTGAAACTAGTGCCGTAAAGCACAAGTAAGCTGCCTTCTGATTGGCTAATGTCGACTTCTTGTCAGTAATTCCATTGGTCGGTCAGAGTTTGTGAAAGGTCGGTCTGACGTGACCCATAATGGGATGTCCTCAGATCTTTGTTTAGCGGCAGCGAGAACTAAGATCTGATTTTAATGAGATTGGGTCAGTACAATTCAGCTGCACAGAGCTTGTAATTAACAGTCATTCTCTAGCTGTCATTGGTGTTTAGTGTTAGCAAATACTGAGCCTCCCCGAGTCTAATAAATGAAGAAAGTCTCTGGACTCCTTTTTGTTATACCGTGAACTAAGTTTATAACGAACACGCTTATAACAAACTGATGGATACAACGAACTGTTTTTTTGGTCCCAGCCATTTGCTGTATATATGTTGTATATATTTTGTATATATTTTGTATATATGTTGTATATATGTTGTATATATTTTGTATATATATGCTTATAATGAACTACGGTTATAACGATCTAAAATTAGTGGGCCCTTTTAGTTCGTTATAACCATAGTTTACTATAAGGTAACGCTCTTTTTCAGGGCATTATCATTTGCAGAAACCTGAGGTCTTCCATTAACTGCCCGACGAAGGAGGCAGTTGAAAAGACCGAGGGCTTCTGCAAATGATAATGCCCTGAAAAATAGCGTTACTGTTATTATAGCTAAAATGGATGGAACTTGTTATCAAATATAAAGAACAACAATATCGGTTTTGAATCATTTACTGCAATCAACACGAATGTCACTGACCCACTTTTACAAATATGGATACGTCATAGAACAAACCAGATGACGTCACTATTGAACGTGACGTCACCTATCCCTATCCTATGAAGTCACCTAACAACAGGTGTGATAATGGCCCGTCGTCAAGCAATATGAGGGCATTATCAAGTTACAGTGGCCCGCTCATTTCTGATAACATGCGGGTGGTTTAATGATAATTCTATCCATTTTAGCTATAATGTATTTTATAACTATTATTTAACAACTGTTTTTTCTGTAAAATAATGTTCATTTCAGAGACAAGATGTCAGTCTGGTGGGGGGGGGATTGTCCAAGGCACAGCTATTTGCTGTGCAGAGATAACAAATGTGTCTGAGAGGAGTGAGTGAGTGAGTGAGTGAGTATGGTTTTACGCCGCTTTTAGCAATATTCCAGCAATATCATTGCAGGGGGCACCAGAAATGGCTTTACATATTTTACCCATGTCGGGAATCAAACCCGGGTTTCGGCGTGACGAGCGAATGCTTTCACCACAAGACTACCCGACCGCCCCTGTCTAAGAGGAAAGAATTAATGTGTCCTTGTTTTTGTGTTTGCAACAGGAGCCTGGACAAAGGTTTCCACACGGAAGGAGCTCTGACCCACGTGTTTGAGGTTGCGGAGTCGGTGGCTGTCCCCGACGGTGTGCAGGACACGGGGGAGCTGGTCTGGGGGGAGAGGACGTACACCTGCCCCAGATACCTGGAACACAAGCTCAACAGGTGTAGTGTCAGCTTTCTACAGCCCAGGCCCTACAGAGCTACAGATAAGCTGCGTATTTGCGTAAAATACCCCCAAAAACTACCGTTATTCAAAACCCAAAGACTTTCAATTAACTTGCGTACAGAAACGCATACATTAAATGGAAAACTCAATTGTTTGAAAACAGCACACGTAAAAAGCCAATGAAGCTAAACAACGGAGCTAATTTCGAGTAAAAACTCAATTGCTCATAAATTTATCTGGAGCTCTGGCCCTAGTGTTCCCGGAACTTATTATTCAGGGTTACTAGTTGACTCTTTGAAAAAATAGTACACCCTTTCGTTTCGAAATAACTAGAGATTTTTACAGGAAACCACTACACCACTAAAACTGTGTGTTTAAACCACTAAATCTGTTTGTTTAAACCACTAAATCTGTTTGTTCATGTGACTTTGCATGCAGCTTTAATAAAAACAGTAATTGCTGTGTGCAAGGAAAGTTGACAAGAAGACTTCTCCCTTGCTGATATTGTTGTCTGCCAAGATCGGAGAGTTAAGACATTGGGACATTGAACTGAGGATGCACACTCAGCTCTTTAGGCCAGGCCTGAATAGCTTAAATTCTTACGGATAACATTGGGTCAAAATTGACAGCTTTGTTATATGGCTGTGCTTTCTGCATCGTTTGAAATTTAACAAATTTATTGTTTGATAGGCATTTCTGTAAAGTTGACGGATGACAAAGTAGAAACAATTTGTCCTTGACAAAGGTATAAGGATCTACACCTAAATGTCGCCATTATAATTAAATAAAGAAATTGTTATCCATAAATTGTGTCTACTTTGTTAACAAATTTAATTAAGGTGGATTCCTGCTGGTAATATTGGATCAAAATTGACAGCTGTGGTATGTGTCTGTGCATTCTGCATCGTTTGAAACTTAACAGATTTATTTTTGCTGTACGATTTCCTACTGGTAAAACTGGATCAGAATTGACAGCTGTGGTATGTGACAGTGCTTCTTTCAACATTTGACAAGTAACTATATTAACTTGGTTGTATTATTTTGGGAGGGCGGGGGTGACCCAGTCGTGTAATGCGACGAAATTAGCTGTGCAGAGTTGCACCCTTTGGGTATGCCAGAAAACGATTGTTGGTTCGAATCCGGGTTTGCCCCGATTATGTTTCTAGGGTTGTCAGCACCATACCCGTGCTCATTGGTTTCACCGAAGTGGTAAACGTCTATGACCTGCATCACTTCGGGCTTTCCTCCCACATTAAGCTGACATGCCATGATATAACTGTAAAACTGTTAAAAGCAGCGTTAAACACAACTCACTCACAATTATTTTTGCGTGTTGTATTCCAGGACGTTGTTGTACAGCCTCCACCACCCTCTCCATCAGCTTCGCGCTGTTCTCGAGGAGTTGATGTCGGCGGAGCTCGGGAGCCAGGCACACCACCTGGACACTCCATCTGTGGTCAAGGAGGGGTCTGGACCTCGACTGGTCAACCAGGGGGACGCACAGACTCATGCGGCAGTGTACGACTTCTTCCCCCCGCCGTACTCTTTACGGGAAAGTTTCCAGTGTCCAAGTGATTCAGCCAAGGAGGATGGAATCGTCGAAGAAAAGGAGCAGGATGAATCGGAAAGGTTTACGAATGATTTGACACCTGTTGGTGACAACCTCTCTGGTCAATTTCATCTTAGATCAGGTGTGATTGAAGAGCTACCTCCCATTGTGTCGCTCATGGCAACTAGTGGTGTCGCGTGTCACATGGTGTCATGTGACATGTATGGTCAGCGTGTGATTGGTCAGAAGACCAGTTGTGTTGGTCACCAGATGATGGTTGTCAGTCGTGATGGGAATCCTGATGAACAAGTTTGGGCTATCAGTCGGGTTGTCCAGAAGGCTACAGGTTTGTATTCTGACATTACATCTGTTGATGATGAGAATATCGCAGTGAGCACTGATTTCGGGGAACTGAGAGTATCTCATGAAATTCAGGTGGTGTCGGATCAAAAGAACACAGGGGATGTTTGTGGTTGTGTGTTAAACTGGACCTGTCCTGACGATAAGATGAAACTGATTCTTGTTGTCCTAGACTTGAACAAAATTGTCATGAAAGTCCATGAAATTCCTGTACTGTCTCTTCTGTGGTCGACGGATCCACGTTTCAAGAACCAGTTTGCAGACAACACAGGAACCATGGTCAAATACAAGCCCTTCAGTCTCTACTCGATGAAATTCTTCCATGATTTAAGTTTCTGGGAGAACCCGACAAGACAGTTCGAGGAGCAGACGTTACACGACATTGTGCGTGAAGTGGCTCGGGATGTGGTGACCGATGTTAGGATGATTGACAGCTACCGTGATTCTGAAACTGACAGACAAAGTCGCTGTTACCGTATGACGTTTCAGTCACATGACCAGGCTCTGTCTTACATCACTTCCTGGAAGCTACAGAGCATGCTCAGACTGGAGGTTGCAAACAAGATGGGAATAATTCTGAGGTAGTGATGGTTCATTATCGGGCAAGAGGTGGAGTATTGTTATGAATGAGTCCATTTTATCAACACCGTCATCGGGACATCCTCATCAGCACCCTCTTTAAGGACGTCCTCATCAACACCATCTTCAGGGACTTCAGCAGCAAGGCCCTCTTCAGCGACATCCTCATCATCACTATCAACACAGTCATCATGGACAGCCTCATCAAGACCCTCTTCAGCGACATCCTCATCATCACTATCAACACCATCATTGGGAACATCCTCATCAACACCATCTTCTGGGACATCCTCATCATCACTGTCAACACCATCATTGGGAACATCCTCATCAACACCATCTTCAGCGACATCCGCATCATCACTATCAACACCATCACCGGGGACATCAGGATCCCCACCATCAACACAAGATAAGGCAAGGGGGTGGTCGGGTAGCCTAGTGGTTAAAGCATTCGCTTGTCACACCAAAGGCCTATAGGTTCCATTCCCCACATGGGTACAATGTGTGAAGCCGAAGTCAGGAGTCAGGTTCTGGGATATTTCTGGAATATTCAGGGTTTTCCATAGTATTGTGAAAAAGGAATTTTTCTACATGCCCGGCCATGCTTGTTTGCCATCAAATACACTGTGACAACAGTCAGTGCTAGACAGAAATACTCTCAGCTGATTGGCTAGTGGGTAGTGATGCCAGTTACACATTTCAGTTAGCTATAAATATAGTCAAAATTCCAAGTTTCTAATTATGAAATTTATTTTAGTCTCATTTAATTCTGATATTTTGTAGAATTGTTCAATTTTAAGCAACTAGTGGAGTAGCAGTCAGTATTTTTTAAGAATATTTTAAATACTCTGAGTTTTAATTTCATAAGGTATGACTTGTATCAGGGACTTATACGCATCTTGAAAAACTGTGAATATTGCTAAAAGCAGTGTGAAACGTTACTCGCACACCTAAGGCTAGGGGAGCTTGTTTTAACACTTTAATACAAAGAATTACAAACATGGATGAAGTAGACAGAATCTTGGTACTGATTTGGAAAGATGCAATCATTCTGATTGTTTTGGGGACTCTCTTGATGGAGTTTTACTAATGATACCTTTGTGCCTTTGTAGCAAACATTGTTTAATTTGTACATGTTCCAGTCATATTTTTTAGTTCTTTTTGAAGTTTGAAGAAATTTTGAAGTTTGAAGTTTGAAGTTACAGTAATATGTGAGGTACCATATATATACTCACCGCCAAAGAAACGAGAAACATATAGAGAAGTATGTACGTCAAGAGGAGAAGTTTCCAATGTGTACCACTTAATGACAAAACTAACAGTCAAGTGGTACCACAGTGTCTTGATTCTTATCACAATATGCTGCACGATTTCCAAACTTTACACGATAATCCTGCATGAGAGTCTTGAGACAAATGGCGACGATCTATGACATCACATGTGATGGCTTCATAAGCGGCGGTTCACGCAACGTAACAGTATCTTCGTTTGTCCACCGAACCAATTTAATATCTCTTGAAGATCAGTGATTCTTTATATAACCAACATGTATAGTATTCGCATTTCTTTGTTGGCGAATATACTTACTGAGCAATTTTGAATTATTTAGTGGTTGCCCGTCAAGTCACGACCTCCAGATAAGCTTTTGGTGTTGTGGGTATTTTACCCATGCATTTTAAAATCATTGGGTATCAGTAATTCTATCTGGGTATTCAAATTTCTGTTACCCACTAGTTTTTACACGTGGGTATTTAAGTTAAATATTTAAAAACACTATTCATCTAGTCCCTGCAAACTGGTGTCGTGTGGGTGGAGAGCTTTATAGGACTAAAAAATACCACGATACTTTCACAAGAAAGTGTGATGGCAAATGATCGTGATGTAACTGTCATCGTTGAGTTTGGCAAGGTTGACGGAATGCCCGGTTATAATTTCAAAATAGGTTGCTGATTTGCTAATAAAATACGCAGGGTTACTTCACAATGTTTTGATGATACACACAAGTTTTATTTTTGTAGCTTATCTGTAATGTTCGTTGCGTATTTGATACGCTTGGATTTTATTTTACTGCATATTTTTGCATTTCTGATGCGTATTTTACGCAGATACGCAGGTTATCTGGAGCTCTGGATCTGCTTCGTAAATTATGTCAGGAATTTGAAACATATTGTCAGGTGCTCATTTTGTTAATTCTTGTTCTCATTGATATGTTTTTTTCTTGTATCATAAAGTTCAATTCACTGATATGTTCTTGTTCATGTGCTTTGTCCTTCACGTTCTGCTTTCTGGTACTTGTGCTCGGTGGGTATTGTCTGGTCTGATGTCTTTGTAAAATATGGACAACCACATCCAAATGTGCCTTGATATTAAATCAGCAGCAGTTGATAAAAGTTTCAGACCCCAAAGCTTGCCGAGTGTTGACATATTTGATTTTAAAAGAGCATGAGGGCGAGTGATATTAAACCTAACACGGGACGCATAAAACCCCATATACCCCGAGTGATCGGAAAGATTTCCACCCGTATCCCCGTCTAAAAGTTGTATGTGTATGCAGTGTCCCTCAGTCCTTTTGGTTATGTAATTTGTCTTAACGAGTCATCCTGCTACCACTAACTTATCTTACCAACACGTTTTAATACGACATTGTAAAAGAACTTATACAAATCAAAAATTGATAGAAAACAGCTGTCTGATTGAGCTGAGGTTAGCTTGTGCTATGTCATGTGCCTTCCATTGACTCGGGGTGGGGAGCATGTGGCTTTTTGCTTCGTAACGGGGTAAAATGGATTTATTCTGCCTCTCAGAAATCCACGTGCAGCATGTCTTGCTCATGGTGGGATATAAGGGATTTATTCACTGTTGAGATATGTATTTCCCTCCAAGGCGGGATACGTAGTATTTTATTAAGATCATAGGATTGGTTGGTTGTTTTTTTGTTTAATGCTGCACTCGGCAATATTCCAGCTATATGACGGCGGTTTGTAAATAATTTAATCTGGACCAGACAATCCAGTGATTAATATCATGAGCATCGATCTGTGCAAATTGGATGGATGACATGCGTCAGCGAGCCTGACAAGATCACGTGAACCAATCAGATCTCATCATTCTGACATGGAGGTATGACAATGAGTAACATACCACATCGTCGTATGATTACACGAACAACAAGTCTTGACTACCCGATCCATTTCTTCTCGTACGACAAACATTGGTCATTTGGAATGTTTTGTAACCAGAATATCCATGGCATCAGCTCGAACAACAGTCACTGAGAGCTGGATACTGCCAAAGAATATCAAGGTTCTCGGGAGTCATGTCTTGAGTAAACAGACGAGACCGAGTTCTTCCATTGCGAGTAAACTTTATTGCAAAAAACTAACAAGTAATCATGAACACATTGATGTGAATCGTGTAAATTAAGTGAACACGTATGAGGCAAATTGTGAACAGTAAACACTCGGGCCACACGTGAACAAGGTCGTCTTATTGCTGTCCACTTAACATCTGGCGCCAAGATGACCTTGCTCAAGTGCACCTTTGTAGTGTAACAACTTGAATTAGGTGCAATGTTATTTGGTGTAGAAGCACTTTCTTCCCGTGGTGCATTTGGAAAATGTTAAAATGTTGCGGCTTTTTAGTATGGCAACCTGTGCAGATTCACAGAAACAATTTCGAAATTCTTTTGAGCATGCATTTTGCGATTATGAAACCGATGGTTTTAATAAAAATCTGAAGAAAGCTAACCAGGTCCCCACTTCAGAAATAAGTCCCAGTACTTCAACTGTCATCGGCAAGTAATGAAAGTCTAGTACTTCGATCACTTTGTGAACTGGACCCTTTCTGACTTGCCAGTCACACCAGGACACCAGGCACCTCTTCAAATCTTTCTTTGTTCACAGACATGAACAGGTGATTTGAGAGACATAGAATGTTCACTACAACATTAAAAGCAAAACATGAATAAAAATTTACCTTTCATATACATAATAAAATGTTAGTCATCCAAATAATATATCATCTTCAAGACTGTCCATTTAATTGGTCCCTTTTCCAATCAACTATTTCATGTTCATGGCCAAACTCTTTCCAAGCCTGGATACCACAATATTCCAATAAACAGACTGTCGTGAGAATGGCTTCCAGTCCATGGTAAATTTGGCATACCGTAATTGTAAAACTGGGTACTATATGCACATGGACTATTTAATACAGGCACTGTTTTCATCATTACTTGGTTTACTGATCATTTGAAATAGAATTTCAAAATATTGTACAAATGTCTCTTATAAACCAACACCTATAAATGTATCTCTATCAAGGAAGGGAGATAATTCTTCAGCACTATAAAAAAAACTCTCCCAACATTGGAGGGGAGATAACTCTCCCAACACAGCAAGGGAGGTAACTCTGAAGCTTTGTGTTAAAGTCAACATACTAAAAAGCTCATTTCTTCCATTTCCTTCTTTCCAGTTTTTGCCAAAATACTAAATCAATATTTATTTCAAACACAGAAATACAATAAAAAACCTGTAAACCAAGTAACTAGAAAAACAAAGGCCTTATCACAATTTGAAAAAAACTTGAGTACACAGGTCTTTGGTAGTAAACAACAATGAAAGCACATCGTAAACCATAGGAAGCCTTGACTTAACCAGACATGGTGAAGAGTTAGTGCTGAATAATACAAGCTGTAACCGGGGCCAACCTCACAGCCCCCTGGTCACGTACACCTTGAGGTATTGCTCAACTCGGATCTTTATTGGAAACACTGTTATCACAAAAAGGCTGAGTGAGTACTTAGAATGTTTGTGTTTGCAAATAAGAAAAAGATACTTAGTCTAAGGATAAGAATTTATGGATGAACAACTTCTTTATTACAATTAAGAGCTGTTATGTTCATCCATAAATTCTTATCCTTACTTAGTACTCCAACTTCTAAATGCCTATCAAAGAAGCTTAGTCTAAGCACAGACCTAATACAAGGCTGTGGTCTAAGTTAATC